AGAACCTTTCCTTTCCCATCTCACTGGCAGCCAATTCACACTCTTTCAGCTGGTGTAACTTTGTAACTGTCCGAAAACCCGTAGGACAAGTATCCCTTCCCCCCCCTACATTTTCTTTACCATAAACCTTTCCTCTTTCATATAAATCTTCGAATCTACTCATCCTCCCTCACAAAATAATGCTGTTCATTATTTGTTGAAATGCACACAGTTCGTGGACTTAGGCATTTGAGGGAGCAGACGTCTGTGTGTCGCATCTCCGCACTCAAATGTGGCCCGTTCCGTTTGTTCAGGTCTGCCTTCCCGTCCTTCGGGTGAGTTATTTTTCTCACACAGATCTTCCACCCTTTCTGTGAGATTTATGCCCAAAGAAAAGCCATGTATTTATTGGAAGGGTAGTCGTCATTACAACCCATGCTGGCTAAAACGTGAGATGCACAAAGTCCTGCTGTATCCAGCCGTCATTTGGTGAGAGGTCGGGGGGCAGCGAGCGCGCAGGGATGGCGTTAGGATCACCCCTTTCACACGAGGTCACCGAGGCTGGGCGGGTTGAAGGATTGGGCTGCAAAGGCCGGCCTGGGGCCGTCCCCCCACCATTCCTGGCGCAACTGCTACGCACAGAGGAGGCCGTCCCTCGCGCAGCTTCTGCGGCACCTGCCTGGCAGGTCACCCGATCCGGCCCGCCAGAGCCCTGGGGTGGCCTCCCAGGGGACACGTGCCCTAGGGGGGTCTGGAAGCGGCAGGACCTCTGCGCAGTCAACTCCCCGCCTCCACCCCCGCCCCGGGGCAACCCCGCGCCCTCCTCCCCCGGGGCTGCTTGGCTCTCCGGGGCTCCCCGCGCCCCTCCCGGCTCGCCCCCCGCCCGGCCTGGGAAGCATCTCCCGCTCGTGCGCGCGCTCCCGCTGTTCTTTGCGAGCGGACGGTTTGCCCGCGGTGCTCACACGAACACACGCACGGAACCCTGCACGTTTAACCGGAAGCGCGCCTCGATACTGCCCGTGGTTCTCGGACTTTCCGCAAACCCGGGTGCCTCTTGGAGGCCCAAACACCGAGTCCTGGGTCTTGCTCCGATTGGACGGCCTACCCCGGAGGGGCTGCGTTGATTGGCTGAGGCTCGAATCACGTGACAATCTGTAAACCAATTGCTGCGGCAATAGGGATGGGCTTTTGATTGGCTGAGATCGCTGGGTGCCCACGTGCAAGCAGTGGGGCAGGGCTGGGGTCACTCAGAGGGGGGCTCAGGAGGGGGGATGCTCAGCAGTGGGGGTGCTGGGGGCACTCAGAGGGGGGTTCAGGGAGAGGGGGTGCTCAGCAGTGGGGGAGGGCTGGGGCACTCAGAGGGGGACCCAGGGGGAGGGGGGTGGTCAGCAGTGGGGGAGGGCTGGGGGCACTCAGAGGGGGGCTCAGGAGGGGGGATGCTCAGCAGTGGGGGTGCTGGGGGCACTCAGAGGGGGGGTTCAGGGGGACTGGGGAGGCCAGGGAGCCTTCAGTGGTGGGGGCACTTAAGCCGCAGCTGGGGGGGAGGAGGGCTAGGTGTGGTATTCAGAGTGAGACTGAGGGGGACTGGGGGGTCGGAGGGCGGTCTTGGAGGGAAACCCAGAAGGCACTGCTGTGGGCTCACCAAGAGACTCACATGGGGTCTCTGGAGGGCTAAATAGAAGGGGGCTTCGCTGGGGCAGATTTAGTGGGGGGTGGGGTGGGGAGAGGGCCTCAGGGGGCCCTCGGCGGCGTGTGTGGGAGCTTAGGGAGCCCAAGGAGGGGGGCGCTCAGCATCTTCTCAACCACGCCCCTGCTTTTCAGATCCTTCCTGACCACTTTTCCTTTGTGATGACTCCCATCCTGCTTTTTGTTCCCGGGAGTCCTGGAGACCAGCTGCTGTGGGGCCCAGATTCCCCTCTTGCAGGGCTCTACCTACCCCCTGGCCCCCTTCCTCCTCTGCAGACTTTCCTAGGTCCTGTGCAGGGCAGCTCCTCAGAAGATCAAGCCCCCAGCCTAAATGACCGTGTGTCCAGCCTGGGCTACACACCCATCCCTAGCCCCTGAGCTGGGGAGGGGTCTCAGGGTACAAATAGAGCTTCTGAGAAGCCCCTACAAGGGAGGCAGTTCTGAGGGGCCTGTCCCACTATTTCCCAGCTGACTCACATGCCTCTGGTCTTCCCCGGCTGTGGTCCCTTCCTGGCCACTGCCTGCCTCCAGGCGAACCTTCTCGTAGTATACCCCCATCCTCTCCTGCTCTGACATCTCCTGTTCCCTCTGGGCTGGTGGCCTGGGGAACCCACTGGGAGGGTTGTGGTAGCGAGCAGTGCTTCTGGGGGCCGGGGCAGGCTGATGGCATCAAGTCTGTGCTCCTTAGGCTGGTGAACTACTAAGGAGGTGAACAGGATACGTTCTCTGCCCTCTTCGGGTCTCCAGCTGCGCCTAAGAACTAAGCTGCCATCAACAGGAGAGAAGCATACACGTTCTACTAAAGTCTTTACAGGTGCACGGGAGCCTTCACAAGAGAATGAAGACCCAGAGAAGTGACCAGAGCAGGAACGATCAATAGCAAACACTCGGGTGACAAAGAAACGCTTAGTGAAGAAGCGAAGTGACAGAGGGGTTGGGGCAGGGAGAGAATGTTGCTGGGAGTCACTGCAAGATGAGGCTTGTTTGCACAGATTTCTCTCCGCCTCATTCATCTCTGGTGGTAAGAATGTCTTCCTCCTGTGACCCCAGAGGGCACCTTTCATGTGGGAGTTCAATCTCCCGCTTTGAAGAATAAAAAGGAGGGTCAGAGTGGGCTTCTTGCCTCTGCTGTGTGTCGGGTGCCACTAACTCAAAGCAGTCGATATGTCAAATTGGCACATTTAGGAGTGACAGGCTCTGAAACTCTTTAGGAGGCCTGATCACATCTGTGGTCCCTTTCAAAGGGTTCCTGTCCTGGGTACGCTGCAGAGGTTCACGTTACAATTACAGGGAAAGCAGCCCTGGCCTTGGCTGACCGGACAAGGGGGTAGGGGGGCCAAGGCCACGGCATGGCCGGGTTCCCCCTGCAAACCCCCGGCATGCCCCTCAGCTGGCTTTGATCCAGCTCCGTGGGGGTTCCGCTGTGCAGCTAGAAATGGGTCCGTTCGTGAGCTGAGCAAGGCCTTGAAGGTGGGTGGCACCTGCCTGCCCAGCAGGGGTGAAGTCACAGGCCTGGGCCGCTGGTCGTGAGCCAAGACATCTGTGCTCTTCCCTGCAATCTTTCCTGTCCCCGTCGTTTTAGACTTGCAGAACAGTACAGAGCATTCCTGGGTGCATCCCGACTCCTTCAATTTACCATTTGTGCGTTACCCTTCGTATACATCCTATACACATCCAATTCCTGCAACCAAGAATTCTCTTACGTAACCACAACACACTGATGGAAACCAGGAAATTATAAGACATACGGTAGTATTTTCCACTCTGCAGACCTCACTCCGCTTGTCAGATCTCTGCTTCGTGCAGGGTGCCTGATGCATTTAACCCGGGATAATCTCTCGTTTTTGTCATAAATGATAACAATGCCTGGAAATATCATGGTTTTTACTTGTTAAACATCTACTAAGACAGGAGCTTGGAATATAGTGTATTACCATTCCCAGCAACACACCGATGGAAAGGGTTATATTTCCAGTTTTACAGTTGAAAAAAGAGAGAGACTGAGAGAGGTTAGTGCTTTGTTCACCTTTATGCTTCGGGGCTTGTGGACTGAATCTGAGTTGAGTGACGGCTGGGTGCTGGAGTGGAAGGTGGGCTTGCTTCTCAATAAGAGGGATGATGGGGTTGGGGAGTTTGCAATCACATAGAGAGGTGGAGGTGGGCCCAGGCCAGAGGGGAGGGGAGAGCCTCTGGGAGTGGAGCTGGGCTGTGCTAGGTGTTGTGTTGACTCGCAATTTCCTTGACCTGAATCTGTTTCTGTGTCAGTAAGGTGCTGATAAAATCCTCCTCTCTTCTGTGAGGACTGAAGGAGGTAGCACGTGGGGAGTGCGTGGTGTAAGGCCAATGGTAAGACATCCACCAGCATGGGACAAGTGAACACATTTAAATCTATTCCAAGCAAGAACTGCCCTCCTTGTCCCTTTGAACAATTTTCAGTGGAGAAGGGGAAAAGGGGCTCCGGGGAATTTCTCCAGCAACGGCTGTCGCCCGCCCCCTATAGGACAACGGTGTCAGCACAGCATCTTGGGACCCCCGCCTGGCCTGCTGGTGAGCCTGTGTCTGTGGGTGACTGGCCTGGTGTGGGCCGGTGTCTGTTCTTGATGTTTTGCACCCAAACAGGGGGGATGTGGAAAAGTCCTCTCCACGCTCTACACTTGAAAATATCCAGGGAAGAGGGCTGGTCAGGGGGTAGGTGGCAGGACCTTCCTTCAGACACAGAAACATCTTTCTCTGCTCCTCGGGGCACATTTGCCAACGTCTGGAGACATCCTTGCTTGCCAAACGGCGGGTGGGGTGCTACTGGAATCTACGAGGCCTGAGATGCTACCTGCATTGCATGGGATGGCCCCCAACCACTGGGGACAAGCCCCCATTATCCAACCAAAACATGAATAGTGCTGGGGCTGGGAAACCCCGACTAAGAGTAATGTGTAGAGTGATGCTGTGGGTTCTTCAAACAGGCTGTCTCTTTCCATCACCTCAGATCTGGCTGCTTCCAGCATGATTGTGTAAGCTTACTGCCAAATGCCAAAGACCAAGGTCCCTTTTATGTGGCCTGTGAGATGCCGATTACATAATGCCATTTAATAAACAAGAAATGGGCAAGACATGGAACTCTTGTGGAACTCTGCCTCATTCATCCCCACCCATTGGCAAAGCATTATTTCAACATCTCAAGGCAAACGAGGCCTTCTAAGTCACTGTGCGCCAGGCTGATCGCGAAGTGTGGAGCGGATTTTCTGCCCTTTTGCAGTGACGCATCCCTGCTACCCTTTGAGGTCAGCAGCCTCCTACATCAGTGCCTAGACAGGTAGACAGGTAGCGGGCCAGCCCAGGAAGCCCGTGGCCCTGCAGGCTGGTGCTCATGGGTCCTGCGTGAGCAGGGACGGGGCGGGACGGAGAGCTGGCAAGGACGAGAAGTTTGCCTTCACATCCCTGCAGGAGCCTCTAGAAGAAGAGTGTCCTGCCCTTCACCTTAAAGGAGATTTGATTTACAAAATACAGGAAGGCAATCCTCCCATAAATCCCATAAATCCCAGCTCCTTTCTGGGGTTCCCAGAGCACTGGTGTGTGGGTGCTGCTCCGGGTATGTTGTCAGGAGCTGCCCAGGAGGGCTCGGGGCAGTCTGGGAGGGAGGCAGGGAGGGCCTGAGAAGGGAAGGACTCAGAGCACCCCAAGAGGGAGGGGTAGCCTGGGAGGGCAGAGGGCACCCCAGGAGAGAGGGGGGAGGCCCAGGAGGGGCCGGGGCACCCCACGGGGGAGAGGGGAGGCCCCGGAAGGGGCCGGACCCCCCGCAGGCGGGAGAGGGAGAAGCCTGGGAGAACTCGGGGCTCCGCAGGAGGGAGAGGGCGGCCCCAGCCAGGCCGGAGGGGCGGGGCCGGGCGTGCACGCAGGCGCATGCGCCGCGCTGTCTTCCCCCCGCTCCTCCCCTCCCACCGCCTTCGTGTTTCCGGCCGCTCCTTTCTGCATCCGGGGCACGAACACTCTCCGTTGGGGCTCGGGCGGCGGCCCCCGACCGGAACCGGAAGTCGATCCCGAGCCCGGCGGGGTAGCCGGCGTCCGACCCGTCAGCGGCGTGTGGCGGTCCCCAGGGGCGGCGGCCGCGCTGCTCCCTGCGACCCGGTCCGGCGGGCGGGCGGGCGGCCCGAGGGCGCGGCACCATGAAGCTGTACAGCCTCAGCGTCCTGTACAAAGGCAAGCCCAAGGCGGTGCTGCTCAAAGCCGCGTACGACGTGTCCTCATTCAGCTTCTTCCAGAGGTCCAGGTGAGCGGGCCCGGCGGCGAGGCCCCGGGGGTCGGGGAGGCCCGCGCGGCGGGGGCGGGGGCCTGGGGGTCGGAGGGGGCCTGGGGGCGGGGGAGGCCCGCGGGGCGGGGGCGGGGCTCCTCGGGTCAGGAGAGGCCCGCGGGGCGGGGGAGGCCCGGGGGTCGGGGGCGGGGACCTGGGGGTCGGAGGCGGCCTGGGGTCGGGGGAGGCCGGCGGGGGCGGGGGCCGGAGGCGGCCTGGGGGCGGGGGAGGCCCGCGCGGCGGGGGCGGGGCTCCTCGGGTCAGGAGAGGCCCGGGGGTCGGGGGCGGGGACCTGGGGGTCGGAGGGGGCCTGGGGGCGGGGGAGGCCCGCGCGGCGGGGGCGGGGGCGGGGTCCTGGGGGTCGGAGGCGGCCTGGGGTCGGGGGAGGCCCGCGGGGCGGGGGCGGGGACCTGGGGGTCGGAGGGGGCCTGGGGTCGGGGGAGGCCCGCGGGGCGGGGGCGGGGGTCGGAGGCGGCCTGGGGTCGGGGGAGGCCCGCGGGGCGGGGGCGGGGACCTGGGGGTCGGAGGCGGCCTGGGGTCGGGGGAGGCCCGCAGGGCGGGGGCGGGGCTCCGCGGGGCGGGGGAGGCCCGCGGGGCGGGGGGATGGGGTCCCGGGGCTCGGGGGAGGGTCGGGGATGGCCCGGGGGTCGGGGTGGGGTGGGCAGGGGGCTCTCCCTCCCGCATGGAGCCCTGAAATGGCCTCTTGCTCGGTGTGTGGACTGGGCCTGCGAGGAATCCTCCTCCTTTCGTTGGAGAAAGGCTGATGCTGTACTAGACCATTGGTGTTGTGCTCAGCGCTTTCCAAATTCTCGTCGTAATAGAATCGCAAGGAGACTGTGAATAAGTACAGATTTCCCAGGTTCACGCTCAGATGTGGTGAACTAGTAGGTGGAGGCCCAGGAATGTGTACTTTAAACCGACGCCTTTCTCCCGGTGATTCTAACCCGGGCGGCTTAGGGGCCACACCTGGAGAGCCAGTTTATGTTATCTGATGGGGTTTTTCCCCAGTTCGGTAGGAGAGGTCTTGTTACGCTCCGTTTATGGATGAAGTCATGAGGCCGCAAGAAATTATACCACGGCCAGCCAGGAGTCAAACCCAAATTTTATGTTTTTTCTGATTAAGCTCTGATGGTGCAAGAGGGTGTGTGCTGAAGATTTGGAAGGAAGCATGGGACGTGTAGGGCTTACAAGCGTCTTCAGTATTTCTGGACACCTTAATTGCAAGGAGGTGTGTGTGAGGAATGCTGCAGACGCCTCAGCCCGTTGGTGGGAGGGGTGGGATGACTCAGGCACCGACAGAGAAGGACCCTCCGGGCTCCGAGTCCAGTGGCCGCTGCCATCTGGCTCTGTCCTCACTGCTCCTGGGCAGTTGTTGTTCTTGATCAGTGTTCTGCTGGCAGGATCGAAAACAGTTCCTGTTCTTGTTTCGTGGAAACGTTTAGCTTCTTTTGGGGCCTTTGGGAAGTATCTTCTTGACGCTTAGCTTTTTCTACCACGGCCTCTGCTCTGCGTTCTGTGTCGTTGCGTTTCTGTGATGGAACGTCTGGTGCCAACTTGGGTGTTTTTTTTCTTCGCTGCCCGTGTATACCGAAGGTGCTCGGGGGTTTTACTGTGGGACCTTTGCCTCACTGCTTTGGGATACCCCTGCCAGTTCATGATGGTTGACACACTCAGTACTCTGGGCTCGCCCCCACCAGCACCTCTTAAAGCAGCATGTCGTCCAGGCCTCTCACCTCCATTCTTCCTGCCTCGTGGCTGCCAGACCCTGAGCTGTAAAACCTTCAGATGGGTCTCCAGCTTTTCTTGCCCCTGTGTGCAGACTTGTGCAACGAATGTAAGTCCCCCCTGTGTCTGGACACCGTCGTGCTGTGAGCTGTGTCTCTGCTTGGTTTTATTGCAAGGACGTCCTTATTTGGAGACTTTTTCTTGGTGGGATGATTTTGATCACATCACTCTCGAAGGAATGCTGGGCACCAGGTATTGTGCTAAGTGCCATTCACTCCTCCCAGCGAACCTGGATTTTGTGGGTTTGGCATGGGGCAGGAAGTAACGGGCTTGGGGGTCACACGGCTCCCAGCCGGGGACGTGCACTCCATGGCCGGAGGTCTTCACTCCACAGAGGGGCTGCCAGAGAGTCTCGTGAGCCAAGCTGTTGTCACCTGTGACTCTCCCATTCTGGCCCACTTCTCTGTTGGGCCCATGAGTGTCCTCTTCTCTCTCAGCCTTTGTACAAGTCACCTCCTCTTCCTCCTTGGCCGACTGCTTGCCTTCCAGAGTGCCCTGGACGGGATGCCAGGATGAGCCAGCACGCCCGAGGCCGTGTTGCATGCCGTAGCCCGCATTCACCGCAGACGCGTGTCACCCCGCAGCGTGTGGCCTGCGCAACAGCCGTGTCTGGTTGTGCACACGCTGGCTTCTGCTGCTCCCCGTGTCCCAGACTGTGCTCTGACCACAGCGTTACCTTGACTAAAGCCTGTAGAAAATCCCCACAAGGGTGGAAGTGAGTTGTCCTGATGAGCGAGGTAGCAAATAGCTGTGGCTCGAACGGCTGTGAGGATTTGTAAGAAAACAGCGTCTCTCCTTAGTCACTGAGGTCGGGAGGGAAAGGAACGAGACCCAGAAGCCACAGCCCCTTGGTGTCTCCACTCGGAGGCCACCTTCCGCAATGCTGGGGACAAGGTGACAGGAAGAGGTAACATGTGTTATGTTTCTTAGCGTTCAGGAATTCATGACCTTCACAAGTCAGCTGATTGTGGAGCGCTCCGCGAAAGGCAGCAGAGCTTCCGTCAAAGAACAAGGTAAGAGGACCCGCTGCCTCGTGCCTGCGCCGTCCCACTTCGGGCAACCCGGAGCTCCCCACAGAGGCGCTGCCCCGCGCGGAGGCTGCCAGGACCCCGCTCCTCTGCTGGCCGGTTCTCTCTTCCTCCTCTTTGTTCTGTTTACGCACAATTCTGTGCCCACTGTTGGAGTCTGAGCTGCCTGATTCAGTTTTTACCCTAAAGCTTAGACTTGCTTCAGATCGGGGTCTAGCTCTCGTGGAGCAGTAAGTGGCCTTCCTGAATTCTTCTCTTTTCGCCCACATTGGACACATCGCAAACAAGGATTCCCAGCGGATGCGGTAATACCGCATCCTGTGCTGCTTAGGTTTTTGACCAGGAATCCGAAAACTCGTTACGTTTTCTTCTTGGTTCTTACGTTCACTTTTTCATAACTCCGGTTTCCTGTAAGAGTCTTGAGGCTCTTCTTTGGGAAGCCTGTGTGACACAGACGACCCAGGAAGGACAGCTGTGTCACACAGATCGCGGGAAGCTCACTGGGCAAGACTAGGGCCCCAGCCCCGGGGGCCGTGTGTTGGTGATGCAGATGTCCGTTACGCTCGGGGGAGGGGGGCCCCCCCGTGTGTGCCCTGCGCAGCCTCCCTGTGCCGCCCACACCGCAGAGGTGAGATTGGACCGTGAACAGTGGTGTGTGGTCAGTCTCGCTCCGGGCCTGCCTCCCTGGCGGTCGCCGAGAGCTGTGTCCTCCAGCACTGACCCAGCCTCTCCCGTTCTGGGGAGTGCGTGCGCATCGGCAGCACATTTGCACCTTGCTTACTTGGGGACGTAAAGACAGAACCCACAGAGCGTCAGCAGCGATCCTGACCTCCCCGGCCCTGCTCTCATTTATCGCTGCCCTCGTCTGACTTCAGGAGCTCACGTTCTCTCTCTACTCTTTGTTCCTGCACGGTTAGCATCAGGCAGTTCTGCGTGAGCGTGAGTCGTTGGGATGAGAAGTTTCTCATTTGTCAGCTGTAATCCTTACGTTCCTTTTTCTCTGGGGGTATGGTTAGCCGTATCCTGTCTGAAGCCTTTTGAAAGTGACAAAAATTCATACCAGGGAATGAGAACTATTTTGTAGAAGACCTGTAGAGACTGAACCTCTGGATAATTTGATGACTTTTCGCACAGTCCTACTGGAGAGCAGGGTCAGCAGGACTGAATTTTTTCTGTAGGTGGACCTTCTCTCTTCTCTTCTTCCCTCTCCTCTCCCTCACCCCTCCAGCCCACCACAGCAGGAAACCTGATGCCCCAAGAGGCCTTATACGGGGCCACTCTTGTAGGAACTTTTTTTTTTTATATAAAATTTTACTTATTTATTTGACACAGAGAGAGACAGCAAGAGAGGGAACACAAGCAGGGGGAGTGGGAGAGGGAGAAGCAGGCTTCCCGCCGAGCGGGGAGCCCGATGCGGGGCTCGATCCCAGGACCCTGTGATCATGACCTGAGCTGAAGGCAGACGCTTAACGACTGAGCCACCCAGGCGCCGCCTCATAGGGATTTTTAAGCAGTTGGAGGCTGCTCGTCTTGTCCGGGGTCTCCAGCTCAGGAGCAGGACAGAGCGTCTGAGAGTTGTGGCTCTCGGAGACACGGCCAAGCCGGAGCTGGGGCTCCAGGATGTGACTGGGAAATGCAGCCGGGACTGCGTCCCCTGGGCGGTTTTCTGCACCCTTGGTGGCTCCTTTAGAGCCTGGCTCTGCGCACCAGGCCTCTGGGCATTTACTCGCCTGAAGCCGGTGTTGGGCCCTGCTGGTTGCAGCGCTTCGTCCTGCGCTGTCCTGTGTGAGTCTCCCTGAGCGACAGGCAGGGGCTCAGCAGTGTGACACTTTCATGATCACGGTGAGGATGTCCAAAGCCCTCACGTCACCATGCGCGTATCTAACCTCTCCCTAGAATATCTGTGCCACGTCTACGTGCGAAACGACAGTCTCGCGGGAGTGGTCATTGCTGACAGCGAGTACCCATCCCGGGTAGCCTTTACCTTGTTGGAGAAGGTGAGTTGACAGTGTGGCCGGGCTGGCCTTGGCCACCACTCTGGCCACTCTTCCTGCCTCTGCCTTCCCCCGGGGTGACTGTGGTTCCTGCGAGCCACGGCCGACTCTGTGCTCGGCCCTCTGGCCACCCCCCTCGGTCAGGCCATCCCTGCACCCCGGGCGCTCCTTTCCCCCAAGTGGGTCCAGCTCCGCCATGGGGCTGAGTGCCACAGTGCTCGTCAGAAACCTCTCGAGGATGCTGGCCTCTGGCCTCGCTGAGCACTGATCCTTTCACAAGCACGTGAGATCTGCTGGTTGCTTCAATCCAAAGGATCTAGCTCCCTTTTTGAAGAACTATTTGGGAAAATGAGAGGGAAGGGACCTTTTGTCCTAGAATCGTAAAACCTGATAGAAGTGGAAACAGGTAGTTTAAAATTCTGATACTTTTATTTTTCTCCAGATGAGATTCGTGTCAGGTTGGGTACACTTCATTTTTAATTGCCAGAAATCTTAAAAACTTGAGCCTAGATTTGCCCCTGGCCGTGAGCTGTGCTCCTCCCTCTGGAGCCTGACAGCCTCTCTCGGGCTGTCCGTTCAGGCTCCGTGGCTGCAGGTGCTGATGGGCTCCTCTGTCCTGCAGGTACTGGACGAATTCTCCAAGCACGTGGACAGGATAGAGTGGCCAGTCGGATCCCCTGCTACCATCAACTACACGGCCCTAGATGGCCACCTGAGTCGGTACCAGGTAGGGTGGACAGAAGCCGCCAGGAGTGGCCCTGCGGGTCATGGCTCTGGGCGACTTCCTGGCAGCCTTGGTGTTGGTGTCCCCCTGAAACACTCAGGGCTCACACTGAGATCTGGAACCCGAGCTCCACAGCGGGCTTTCCCTTTTTTGCTGTGTGTGTGAGCAGCCTGTGGTTGGTGAACTTGGCAAACCCTGTCCGGCTCCCTTGGTTTGAGCTTTGTTTCCAGGTGGTCCCTGTACTCCTGATGTTGTTTTGGGCTCTTCCCTAGAACCCCCGAGAAGCTGACCCCATGACTAAAGTGCAGGCTGAGCTGGATGAGACCAAAATCATTCTGGTAAGCGGGAGCAGGGGTGAGTGCATCCTGGAGCTGGGTGGCGGGGGGGGATGGTGCCAGGTGCACAGTCAGGCTTGGGGTTGGGGGAGCCCTCATGCAAATGCTTCGCTGGAAGGGGTGGTGCCTGCCTCTCCCCAAGCGTCTGAGGCCCCAAAGCCAGACCACCCAGGCGACCTCGGGTCTACGCTGCCTGCACCCATCTGGGTGCAATATCCCTGTTGCACGAGAGCCCTAGCCGAGACCTGCTGTGGCCCTGATCCCTCCCCGCTGTGACGGTCTCTCTTCTGGGCTTTGCTTCCGTGCCGCTGCTGCCCGCCCCCCGCCGTTGGTCTCCAAGCCCAGCAGGTGCCTCTCTCCAGGGTGTGGGCTCTGGGGGGCAGGAGAAGCCGCCCGTGCTCGCTAAACACAGACCGGGGGTCCCCAGGCCCGGTCAGGAGAGCAGGAAGCCCGCGCCTTCCCTGAGCGCTCTGCTGGTCTGTAGCTGCTGCTTCAGCGTCTCTCTCTCCCTGTGTTCCTCCTTCTCTCTTTCTAACTCCAAGTTCTCTTTGGCACTCGCTGTGTCTGTTCTCTCCGCAAGTTTGGTCCCGTGGCCTCTGCCTGGTCACTGGTCCCTGGCTTCCCACCTGCCACCATTGTGTCCGGACAGTAGCCACCGATCTGTGGTTCTTCCGCTTACTGTCCCCCAGGATCTCCCAGGAAAGCTCTGGGGTCAAGTGCACACTGCCTGGCGCTCACGCAGGTGCCCCACGCGCCGGCCTCCCGACGCCACCGCACGGTCACGACCAGTATACGCGCCTCCCTGACAGGCGTGTGAGCCCTCGGGGCCGGGAGCTTGTCCCTGTCCACCCCGCTCCCAGTAGGTGGCATACGTGGGACACCAGTGCCCAGCAGCTAGTGAACCTTAAGTGAGTGGCAGAGGGGCCCAGAAAAACGCTGCGGGCTCTGGCTCGGCCTTAGCGCCCCGCGCCGTCTCCGGGGCTTGGACACTGGCCTGGGCAGGACCCAGGAAGCTGCGTTCTGTGGAAACCATCGGGGGGTGCTGCAGACGTCCCGCTGCGGATGACGTGGTTTGGGGGCTGTGGGTCGGAAGTGAGGTGTGAGGGTCTTCCGGTGTCTCCGTCTCTTCATGGGCTTCTCCGCGTGTTCTCCCCGAGCGCGGACAGCTGGCATGGCGGTGGCTCCCAGTGCCCTCAGAAACGGGCTTGCCGGCCGTGCCGCCTCCCCGTGCGGCCCTTCGCCTCGTTCACTTCTCGCGCCGGCAGCCGGAGTCGTGAGCTCTGTGTAGAGAGAGACGACTCGTTCCCCCTCCTGGGCCGGCCCCCGTCCAAGGGCCCAGGCTTGCGCTCCTTGCTCCAATGAAGCCCAGGAGGGGCTCGCAGGTGCTCTGGCGACGGCCGTCCGCGCGGGCCCTCCCCGAGTGCAGCGTTGGAACACGGGGCCCTTCAGGCAGCGGGAGGCGGTGTGTCCAGTGGGAGTCCGCGTGTCTACCGTGGCTGCGAGCGGGGTGGTGTTGAGCCTGTGCTCGGGGTGCCCGGGACGGGCTCCGGGTCCTGCTCGGCTGGGACGCTCCCGACGCTCACATGGGGGCAGGAGCCCACAGGAGAAGCACCTCCCGTGACGGAACCGCAAGAGGGGCTCGTGTCTGCTTGCTTCGTGGACACGGAGCGTCTGCTTGTTTCTGTGTCCAGCACAACACCATGGAGTCCCTGCTGGAGCGAGGGGAGAGGCTAGACGACCTGGTGTCCAAGTCCGAAGTGCTGGGAACACAGTCCAAAGCCTTCTATAAGACAGTGAGTGCCAGCCCTCCCGCGGGCTCCCGCCACCGACGAGTTCCTAGGACGTTGGGTGACGCGTGGGGAGAGCAGAGGGGGTGGCCCAGGCCAGGCAGTAGTGCAGGGTCTCGGGCACCGGGGGAGCCAACGTGGGCAGAGGCCTGTCCCCCCCCCCCCCCCCGGCTCCGGCTGCTCTCCCTGCGCCCCCGGCCTCGCTTGTTCCTGCTGCACGCTGAGCGGGGAGGCCTCCAGGCTTCCCAGAGCAGCCCTTCCACCTCTGTTCTCCTTGACAGAAGTGGCCGGGCACGCACCTGAGTTTTCCTGTGAGCCTGGGAGGGACACGGCCATGGGGCTCGGCGGGGGGCGCGCCTGTGAACCCGTTCTCTGAGGACATTCTCAGAACGAGCCCTGCGCACGGGGCCGGGTGGCGCTGGGGGACCCAGGCTGGTGCAGAGCCAGACGCTCGGTCCACCTGCAGGTGCTCTCCGTCCCCCCAGCCCACTCCGTGGCCCCTGCCTCCCGGCCCCCACCGCCCACCCCGGCCTGTGGGCCGCCGTGGCGCTGCCTCCGCCTCTCCAGCCCCGGTGTGTTTCTGTCCAGGCCCGGAAACAGAATTCGTGCTGCACTATCATGTGATGGCAGCCCGCGGAGGCCCCCGTGTCGAGATGGCCCGGACACCGGCATCAGACCCGCAGCCCCTGGAGAAGCAGAGCCGCCATGGAGAGACCCACGTGGGGACATATTTTCACTTGGGAGCTCCTGGCAGGAACTGAGGGGTCGTGGAAGGGCCCGGGGCTGGGGAGCATTCAAACTTACGTGTCCGGTGATTTTTGAAAAGCTCGTTTGAGGCCCCCAAAGGTGTATTCTTGGGCCAGATGAAACTATAAACTCTGAGTGACTCATAGACGCTGAAGGGGCTCGTCTCTAACCCCTGGGAAACCTGTGGGCCCGCGACTTGTGCGAGGCCCCCGGGGAAGTCGGAGCCAGGCTTGTTGGTCCTCGGTCCGCCTTGGGGTGGTGTTTGTGCGCTGACCGTATTAACACTCTAGTAAAGCCAGGGTGAGCCCCGATCACAGGACGGAGGGGGCGGAGCGGGGGATGGACCTACGGCGGGCACAATCGCGGGGGATGAGCAGGCCAAGGCCCGCGCTGGGACGAGCCAGGCGCACAGATGCACTTGTGCTGGACTGACTGCTTGCCGAGGGCGTGGCTCATCCACAGGACACAGATGCCTGTGGGGTGGGGGATGTCGGCCCTGCCTCACAGCTTAGTTTTGCCTTCCGGGTCACAGCAGCGGATATTGTCTCTCTCAGCCCGTGTTCACCTGCCTCTCTGGCAACAAGACTGTGTTAGCGACCACCTGGGGCCTGCGTGCCTTAGCAAGTGGCCTTTGCCGTGGCCACCGTTCCTGGCCACCAAGACCAGGTGCCAGCCATCCTGAGGACTCCCAGTGCCCCACGTGTGGCCTGATCTCCGCAGGAGCACTGCTGAGAGCGCCCCCCCCCCCCCCCAGCAGCACGAGCCCCAGCCCTGAGCCCTGCCCACTCCCTCAGGCCCCACTGCCATGGTCCAGACTGCCTTCCCTCATCTTGCAACGCTTCCTGAGGATGTGAGCCTGTGATGCACTCTTGGGACCTGGTCCCTTCAGAAGCCCCTGCTGGGGCTGTGTCAGACAGGGTCTCGTCCTCTGGGGTCCTTCCCTGAGCATGCTGGTTCTTGCCCTACCCAAGAGGTCCCGTTGTCCTGACACAAAGTGCCGGGCCCTGAATTCCCTTGTTTGGACCAGAAGGTGGCACCTTCGTGGCTTTGGAGGACCCCTGCGCCCCACCCCAGCAGGTTTACCCACCGGCTATCCTGCTCTGGGCACTGTGCTGGCCAAAGGAGTTGGCCTACTCCTAAAATAGCCTGCCCGAGGGACCCCCCTGGAACGCGCAGGCCCAGTCTGCTCACTGGTGCCCAGGGGGCTGTGACCTCCCCTTAGGAAGGACCGTGGTGTCTGACTCCAACTTTGGAGGTCGCTGGGGCAGAGCTGCAGGGAGGGCCATGGGGGGGGGTGGGGGGCTGGCTCAGGCCCAAACCAGCGTTTCCCCAGCTCCTGCGGTCCCACGTGGAAGCCTTTGGCAAAGAGTGTATTTTAGTAACTGCTGCCTAACTTCTCTGTTCTATCTGAAAGATTCTTATCTGGATAAAGTTGTCTTTTGAAATTCCAAAATAGTCCTCTGCTTTGTTCCAGCCTCAGGGGCCTCTTTCCTCGGGAAGCCTGCCCTCCCTGTGTGCACCTGCGGGGAGCGCCTGTCCAGGGGAGGTGGCGGCTGCCTAGATCCTGCCCCCGCCAACGGCCTTCCTAGCAGGAGCCAGGGGAGCCCTAGAGCCGACCTAGGGGAACCGGCCTGGGGAACTACTGCACAGCCACGGCAGCCTGCGCCATGTGGATGGAAACTCCTCGGGGGGGGGGGGGGGCAGCCCTGCAGGTGTGGGGGGGCATCCGTGCCTCCTGGGGTGCGTGCAGGCCAAGGAGTCTCCAGTCTGCTCCCAGTTTAGGGAATGAGTTTGCTCGCTGATCATCAGAGGGTCTGAAGACTTCTCTGCCTGTTTCATTGCTGGCCCTGGGCCTTGCTTTCAGCCTTGTGACCCTGGAAATGAGAAGCAGCCTTGGGATTTCTGGCTGGACCAAGGGCACCAGCTTTTTAGTATGGGGTCTTCTGAGGCCCAGGGAGCTTTGCTCAAAGCGGGGTGCCACTTAACAGGGACCAGCCGAAGGCTGTCTCATGGGCCCGGCTCCGTAGTTGCCCACCGAGCCCGCTGCGGGTCGCACCCCACACCTCTGGGCTCAGGAGCGTCCGGGGCGGGGCGGGGCTGCGCTGTGCATCCGTGGGGAGGCCTGGCCTGGAAAGTGTCCTCGGATTACAGCTGATAGGTGAGTGGAACCCTAGATACTGTGCCGGGACCCACTGCCGCTCGCTTGAGGGCTGTGTCCTAGATTCTGCGCCCTGCTCTCGGATCCTCTGCACTCCCTGGCACAGCCCTCCCTCCTGAGAGCACCTGCTGGGCACCAAGAAGCCGCAGTCAAGGGCTCCTGTCTTAGTGACCCCCAGGGCGCCCTTCTTACCAGAAGTCACTTGCACACACAAGTTGGGAGTGTTTATATCTCGGGTTGTTTTGAGGCCCACATTTCTGTCCCAGGAAAGCACGAGGCCTGAGGTACAGACAAGCATTGGCAGGGCCTGGGGAGCCAGTGTGAAGGGGAGGCTGCCCATCTTCATACGAGGGTGCACCCGGGTTCTGGCAGGGCCGCGTGGGGGAGCGGCTGGGCTGGGGGCTGGGGCTCGGAGGGGCCCTGGCATGAAGCCCCCAGCTGCACGTGAAGCCGTTTGTCCTGTTTTTCTTTTATTTGCAGTTTCCCGAGACAGAACAAAATAATGATTTTTTACACTTACAAGGCTCAGAAAGAAAAGACAATGGAACTCAGCAAAAAGAGAGAAGGGGGGGGGCCGGCCAGCACTGCGGGCAGCCGGCCCTCCGCAGAGTGGCCACACCTCCGACATCTAGCTAGACGAGCAGGTGTGGCCTGCTCGAGAGGGGTCATGCAAAAGAACTATCCCCCAGAAAAAATCCCCAAATTATCCCAGACAGGCAGCTCCGTGGAGATAACGGGAGGGGAGGAGGGGAGGAGGGCCCCGGAGGGGAGGGTGGTCAGGCCACACGCTGTCCCCGGTGAGCCCTGCCGCTGCCCGCGGCCCAGGGAGCCTGGCGGATGTTTACCCTGTGTCCATGGGTGGGGACAGCTGTCCCGAGCACAGCCGTGGACGGGCAGGTTGAGTGTCCATTCTGAGTGTCTGCTGATGGACAGTCCCCTGGGAGACCAGCATCCTGTGCCCCGTTCCCCACTCTGTGCCCTCCCTTGGCTTAATTTGTGGGGGAAGATAAAGAAAATCCTTGTTGCAAATGGGAGTTAAGGGGCAGGTATTGGAACAGCAGGGTCCCGCACCCTCTGCGATCACAGCCCGACCACCCCCCTGGCCAGCTACCCTGGGCGCTCTCTGCTGCCATCTGACCGCAGGGCCCATCCCCAAGCCTCGCCACGGTGCCCACCAGCACGCAGGGCATGCCTCGCGATGGGCCCAGCCTCTCTTCTCATCCCGTGGTCCCTGTCCCACCCTGCAGCCTGGAGAGGCCTGGTGGGGGTGGGGGGCCCGCCGCACCCTGCCCTTCAGGCCCGGGGCAGCCGGCCCTCCCTCTGCTCTGGGCCAGACTCCAAAAGCACCGTCCGCAAACACGTGCTGTGCCCACCGGGAGCCCAGGGTGCCACTCACCCGCTTTCTGACCCCCCTCCCCTTCCTGTGTCTTGACCAAGCCCGGAGCCCCTCTGTGGCCGCACCAGCTGGCGAGGGGAGAGGTGGGCAGAAGGGGAGGCACCCCGAACAGGAGGGAGGCCGGCCCGAGGGTTCCCCTCCCCAATGGGGCTGCCGCCAACAGTGTCCTCTTGGCCAGTCTCCCGCCAGGCGTGAGGTCTGCACCTCCCCGGCCCTAGAGGGACCGGAGTGGGAGCCCTGGGCCCGCGGGGGCGTCTCAGAGGGCTCATCGGGGCCCCGGGGGCCGGCCCGGCCTCTGCACTGCTCGTCCATGCTGGGGGCATGAGAGGAAGGGAGGGGAACAGCCGTGCTCAGGTCCCCCTGGCCCCAGGTGGCCGGCACTCCTGACGGCAGCCATGCACGGCGGGGGATGCAGATCTAACACACGCGGGTCCTCAGCCCGGCCCCTGTGGATGCGGTCACTGCCCCACCGGTCCCCGAGGGGCCAGGGGCGGACAGACACATGGAGCATGGGGGGGGTGCCCGTCGGTTCGAAGCCCCACAAATGCCAGTGATTTGTACAGCTTTTTCCTTTGTTTTGTTCTCCTGTTTCATCCAACATCAATTGTGTGTGTGTGTGGTGGTCGTCATCTTGGTGTTAAAAAGAAATTACGTCCGGTCTTGGTTTTCTGCAGACACAGGCACCAGGGGAGGAACGAGGCAGACACAAACATGCGACAGGCAGGCCACGGGAGGGCGGCCAGGCTCCAAACACCGAGTCTGTCCCGCGAAGCCGGCCGCAGCTCTGGAAGGGGGGGAGGAGGAGCGTGGGGGTCACCTCACGTTTGCCCCCCCCCCGGAGGAGGGGGAGGCGAGGGGTCAGCTCTCGTCTGCACCCCCCAGGGAGGAGGGGGAGGCGAGGGGTCAGCTCACGTTTGCCCCCGCCCCGGAGGAGGGGGAGGCTAGGGGTCAGCTCTCGTCTGCCCCACCCCCCAGGGAGGAGGGGGTCGGCGGGGGGGGCGGGTCAGCTCTCGTCTGCCCCACCCCCAAGGGAGGAGGGGCGAAGGCGGGGTCAGCTCTCATGTGCAACCCCCCCCACCACAGGACGGGGAGAGCAGGGATGGGGTGCTGCCTGCCTGCAGCCCGGGGGCGCCTCCCCCGGAGCCCCGCGGCGCCCCCCGGGGAGGGTCTGCGCCAGCACCCACCTTCACTGCAGCGGGGCCACGGGCGCGCCCGAGCAGTGGAAGTGCACGTTCTGCCACTTGCCGTCGCGACGGTGCCACACGCGCGTCTCCTCGGACTGGCTGGTGCGGGGCCGGCCCTGCCCGTCGATGTACTGCGTCAGGCGGATGTAGGCGATGCACGCGGCGTCCTCCCCGATGACGTGCACGTGCGGGTTCAGGATGGTCGTGTGGATGGGCTTGCTGTTCTTGGCGAGCACTGCGGGCAGGGGCAGAGGCGGGGGCTCGCGGGGCGCCCCCGGGAACCTCCGCTCTCGGCAGCGCACGGGGGGGCGGGGAGGGGGCCTGGGGTGGCCTGGAGGTCTTGGGGAGCCCTGCGTTGCTGTCGGGGGCGCGCCGCCCACGCCCTGCACCGGCCCCCCGACTCACGGTTCTCGAAGTAGAATCTGTGGAAGTCCATCCCTTCGACCAAATTGCCCAGAGCTTCAGGCTCGAACGAGGTCAGGCCTGGGTCACAGATTTTCCTGGGGGGCATACCCAGGTGAGGAGAGGCCCCTGCCGCGGCCCGCCCCTCCCTTCACCGCAGGGAAGCCCCCACCGCCCACCCCAGGCCTCCCGGGACCCAGTCCAGATGCCCCGCTCACGCGTAGGCCTCGAAGTCCCCGTTGTTGACGGCCTCGATGAGCTGCTCGGTGATCTTGATGACCTCCTGCTTCCGCGCTGCAGGGACACAGCCGCCCAGTGACCGACGACCACCCCAAGCGGCCCTGCAGAGGGCCTAGGGCAGAGCGTCCCCAGCCCCCACCCGCCTCTCCTCCCCAGGAGGGACCCGCGCCCAATCGGTCCAGCTCACATGGCTCCCTCCAAGGTCACCCACAGCCCCCACGTTTCCAAGTCCACCAAGCCGGGTCTTACATAGAAGGTCTGGAGAATGCAGAAAGGGAAGCAAAGCCCGCCGTGTGGCCCCCCAGTCCCTCCGGCCGTGTCCCCTGGGACTGGCCCTCCTGGCTCCTGCCCACCTGGATTCGGCTCACAAGCCCTTTGCGAATGCAACACGTCTTTAGAAACATCTAGTAACGAACTATAGAAATGATCCCTGTAAGGGCCGGCTGTGAAGCAGTGAGGGGACGGGGTCTGCAGGGTGAGGACTGGGAGCAAAGACCAGGGAGTAGGGCCAGAGGGGCCCGAGGAGGAGGACGCGGAGTCTCTCCCTGGAAGCCCACGGACAGCCGGCTGGCCTCGCACCTGCTCCAGTCTCCACCTGCGTGCAGTCCTGGGCCCGGGTGCCAGCTGCCCCCCGCCCCCCGGGCATCACCAGCCCACCTCACACCCTCCGTCCCAGGGCTCTGGGCTCCTGCCCGCTTGGCCTCTGCACCGGGACAGGCCCGGCCCCAGGGTGCTGGCCTGGGGTCCCTGTTGTCTCTTGAATCACAACTTATTTCAGAGAATAACATAGCCCCACACCCTGCGGATTCAAACCTGGACCGCTTTCATTGCCGCTGAGACTTTTTTAAAGAAATAAGCCCTTCCAGATACAGTTGTGAATGCCCGTGTCCCCCTAAGTCTCGTTCTTCACTCCCCCTCCCCAGAGAAGGACTGTCCTCAGGTGGGGGCTTAGCCGCTTCCGCGCAGATGTGTCCACCCTCGAACGTGCACACACGTCGGGTGTGCGCGCACACGGATCCCAGGGATCTCTCCAAGCAGCAGGCTGACGGTAAGCCTCAGACCCAGCCCGCGCAGGATGCCCGGAGCTCCTCCCCACGGGCTCCCTCCCGGGGCACGGCACGTCCAGCAGCTTCCCTGGCTCCCTAGCAGCTCTCTGCCTCTGCGGCTGGGCATCTGTCTGCACTCCGGCCACCAGTGCCATGGGGAACGGCACACGCGTGAGGTGATGCGCGGGCTCAAGTCCCAGAGCACAGGTGGCAGGGTCTCCAAGGGTGCACTCCGCGTTCTGAAGCATGTGCCCACAGCCCTGGCATGGGGCTGCCCGCGCGTCCTCCCCGCCGCCAGCACCCTCGGCTGTCCGCGTGCCCCCTCCCACAGATGCCCGCCTGAAGGGCGCCGTGTGCTGCACGGAGCCTGCATGGTGAGGGCAGCAGGAGCTCCGTGACGGCCGAGGGCTCGGGTGCACGCGTGTGCTGGTGTCACGGGGGAGGGCACGTTTGCACGTGGAGATTCGTGTGTGCACCGCCCTGCGGGTTTCTCCTATCTTGGAAAACCCTCCCTCTGGACCCAGCTGCATTTGCGCGAAGGTCCCGTTTCCATTTCTCACCGAACTCTGTGTCCGCACCGTGGCAGGGTTTGGGCTCCGGGCGGTCTCTGTGCAAGCCCAGGCCCCCACTGTCCGGTCGGCCCTGAAGCTGGCCTCCAGTACGGTGGGCTGCAGGCTCCAGGGACCCCACGCCCACCTGTCCCGACACCTGCCATTCTCCTCTCTCCGTCTTGGGACCCAGGGCAGGACAGTGTTGGGCATCTTGGGTCCCTCGGCATCACCGGTCTATGGCCTCCCAGCAGCCTGCCCACCTCTCTGCCCTCTGGCTGGGCGTTTCTGCTTCGGGGACGCTCATCCGCCCTCCCAGGTCCCTGTCACCACTGCAGTCCAGCTTTTCCCCGGCGACCCCCAAGCCAGCCCCCCCCGCCCGTGTGAGGGTGGACAGCGCCCGCGTGTCTGACACCCAACACCGGTCGGCCCCCCTTCTTCACCCCAGCAGCCCACGGGAGCCCTCCGCCAACAGCCCTGCGACCGGAACTGCCCGACACGTCCTCTCTTGTGTCCCGTGCACCCCGTACTGTGGTAAGTCAACCCGATCTTCCACTTAGTGAAGTCGTGTGGAGTGTTTTAAAGCCAGTTGTGATACAAAATGAGAGTATAAAGTCACCCAGAGGGAATCAGGGTGACAGCACGCATCGCGGAGCCTGGAGTTTGGGAACCAGCGTCACACGCATTCTGCAGACAAGCGAGGTGAGATCGCAGCAGGGCTGCTGCCCAGACCCACCCCTGCCCTGCATGGCAGCCCTGCCTCCCCCAGGGGCGCGCAGCGCGGGGGGCTCCCCGGGAGGTGAGGCCGCGAGCTGTGACCCCGCCCCAGGCAGCTCTGGCAAGGGTGTGGCGTGGGAGGGGTCCGGGGTGGACCGGAGCCCCTGCACGCCCTCTCCCGGGACGAGCTAACAGGCCAGGAGGCCAGGCTGCTGGCAAAGGGTCTGGGGGACCCCAGTGACCCCAGGCTGGCCCTAATCCGTGTCCCTTGGCAGCTGCAGGGGCACCGCGAGCCCCCAGCCACCCCAGGCGGGCAGCTGTGCAGGATCAGCCTGGATTGGGTGTAATCCCTGATTATGGGGAACACGGCCTGGGCCAGTGGGCACCGAGCCCATTTACACATGACGACAGCTGACGGCTACATGCCCCTAACCCACCCCAGGGACAGCCCCCCGCCGCCTGCACCTCAGTGCTGGGTGAGGCGGACCCGGGCCCCAGAGGTGGAGCTGGGGGCACCCCGGCTCTGACGCCCACGGCCGCAAGTCTGGAGAGCCAGTTCCGCACAAGTCCCCTCTCGGGGCTGATTCCACCCCCGTCCTTCACCTGCGGACCCCCCAGCACTCGAAGGAGCTGCGGTGCTGAGGACTCAGGGGAGGGCACATGCCGGAGCAAGGATGCTGCTCCCTGAGGGGCCTCAGCCCCCCTAGCGCTCACCCCCTCCCCCGCCAGTCCTGCCCTCCGCGCCCCCCCACACCCCTCCCTTCAGTCCCGCTCAGGGCCCCTTTTTGTGGCCCCCACGTCTGTAGTTTGGTTCAAGGCAGACCCCCAAGATCAGCCCAGGGTGCTCAGCGCTCACAGCATGCCCTGTCCTCAGAGCCCCCAACCTGGCCTCCTCTGCAGACTCCAAGGGCAGCCCGCAGCCCTGGGCGGGGGTCCTGTGGCGGGTGGCCCCCGCTGGGGGCACCTCTCCACGTACCCCAGCTTCTGCTTCTTCATCTGTGAAACCAGGGCCAAGAGGGGCCGGGGAGACGGGGACATGGATGCTGCCGACCCCTCCCCAGGCTCTGCTGCGCACCTGCCACAGCCCCCCCCCCCCCACGAGACCACCCCGCCTCTGTGACGGACCTCCAGTCCCCGGCCAAGCCAGCCCGGGAACCCGCACCTGCCCTCGGCCCTCTGGCCAAGCACAGAGCGCTCCTGGGGGGGGAGGGCGGGGGGGGCACTGCTGTCCAGCCGCCGGCCCATGCCCTCGCGGCCGCTGGGGTGGGCTCAGCTTGCCCGCAGCCCCCATGCCCCCCCACCGCTGCGATGCTCCGCTCCCCCTCCGCCCTGCCCTGGCCCCCAGGCCCGGCACTCACCCAGCCACTCCCCAGCCATGCCCAGCCCCTGGCCCGCAGCCTCTCATCCAACAGCACCTCCCTGCCCGGTGTCTCCCGGCAGGTGGGGGGGGTGCGGCCCTGGGGTGTCACCCATCCCTGTAAGTGATCCCGGTGGCAGTCGGCAGGCGGGCTGGGGCAGCCGGCTCCTCCCTCCCTGCCTGGGGAGGGGCCCCAGCCCAGCGCCGGCCCCTCACCCCCCCCCCCCCCGCCCTGGGCCCCAGCAGTCAGCATTGTCTGCGTCACGCGGGCCCACAGATCACAGGCGTGAGGCTCTAGTTCGCCCCGACTGCTTCTGATTCCTTCCTACACACACATTCACACATGCCCGTCCTCGGCCACAAACTCACGTTCCGAGGCCAGATGCCTTCATGTGGACCTCCCTGTGCTCCCCTTTCTGTCCCCTCCAAGCTGGCCCCTTCCCAGAGTGAGGGGTCCCGTACCACAGCCGGGGGTTCTCCACACCCCTGTGAGCCCCCAAAGAGCAGCTAGGGGGCCACTCAAGGTGCTACCTACACAAGGGGCCTGGGAGAGCTGGAGATAGGCAGGGTGGGGGGCCCTGGGCTTCCGGGGCCCCTGAGCCCCTCCTCACCGTGTTCAGGATGTCAGAGAGCCTGGGGGCTGGGGTGGAACAGACCAGACGTGAACAGGAGGCAGGTGGGGGCACACAGGACAGAGAAGCTATGGGCTGACGAGCCAAGCCAGAGAGAGGAGGGGGCAGAGTGGGACATGGGGGGACACGGAGGGCCGAGGGGAGACAGAGGGGGACACTGGGGGGATACCGGGTATAGAGGGAATGTGGGGGGATGAAGGCGGATGTGGGGGACACGAGGAATGTGGGGGCACAGAGGGTGACGTGAATGGACATGGGGTGAAGGTGGACATGGGGACAGAGGAGGACGGGGGGACACAGGGACACAAGGAATGTGGGGGCGTGGGGATGTGGATAGATGTGGGGGTGAAGGTGGACGTGGGGGGATGGGGGGACGTGGACACGAGGAATGTGGGGGCACAGGGGGATGTGGGGTGAAGGTAGACATGGGGGGACATGGAATGTGGGGGACACGGGGAGCATGGGGGACGGGAGGATGGGGGGACAAAGGGGGATACAAAGAAGAATGTGGGGGTACGGAGGGGGGACGTGGGTGGATGTAGGAGGTGAAGGTGGACATGGGGAGCATGGGGGACAGAGGAGGATACAGGGAAGAATGTGGGGGTACAGAAGGGGATGGGGGATGAAGGTGGGGGAGCGTGGGGACAGGGGGCACAGAGGAGGAGGCTCCAGGAATGGCCGGGCAGGTGCTGCGGGCAGAGGGTATCCCCCCCCCGCCCTGAAGTGGACAGAGGCAGCCCAGCGTGTGCAGAACCCAGTGGAAGACACAGCTGGTCAGGACGGCCCGCCTTCTCCCTTTCAGCCTGCAGGCCTGCGGTGGGGAGAGGCTTCTGAAATGGCGCCGTGTCTACACCTCCCTGGGGCCCCGCTGAGTGCTGTGACCGGACGGTCAGGCAGGCGGTCTGAGGAAGGCAGGAAGCACTGTGGACGGCCCGGGAGACCCCGCGGGGGGGCGGCGGCGAGGCCTGGGGTGGACTGCAGCGCAGGTGGGAGGGGAGGTGCGGAGGAGGGTGGCTGGGAGCTGCCCTGCGGAATTAGTGCCAGGCGCCCAGCCGGGCCGGGCCGTTAGCCTCGGGCAGCCGGGCGGGGCAGCTGAGGCCGTGCGTGGCAGGGGCAGCAGGCCCGGGGGCACTACTTCCACAGAGCAGGCAGGAGGCCCTCAGCTTCCAGGGCCCCCGAGCCCCTCCCCACGGAGCTCAGGGTGTCAGGGACCCTGGGGGCTGGGGTGAACAGGAGGCAGAGCGTGAGCAGGGGCGGAGGACGGAAGGCCCTGCTCGCTCCCGCCCCGGGGCCGGTCTCCGCAGCAAGAAGCCCCTGGCCAGAGCCTGGAGCTGGGGGCGCGGGGGCGGCCCACGGCCCTGCGGGCCAGGGGAGAAGCCCCCGCGGAGGGCTGGCTGGAGAGGCAGAGGCAGCCCCGAGCCTCCGTGGGGCCGAGGGGGCCCCGGTGGAGCCCACGCTCAGTCTGCTCTGAGGAAGCATCCCTACAGAGATGGGCTGTGGGGGGGCCCTTCAGGGAGACCCCGCCCACAGCAGGGGCCCACCGACTTACGCGGAGTGGGCAGGGGGCGACCGGGAGGCGGACATGAGGTGGGGGGGTTGGCTTCAGAGCTCGCCGAGCCCCTCCCCGCGGAGCTCAGGGAGTCAGGGACCCTGGGGGCTGGGGTGGACAGGTGAGACGCGAATGGGAGACAGGAGGGGGCACGCGGGAAAGACGGGGACAGGACAAGGACGAGTGGGGTCAGGCTGGAGAACCCCAGGCCCAGCTCATGGTGGGGTCCAGGGGCAGTGGGGGCACCGGAGGCGGGGCTGGAGGTGTGGGGGGAGGGGCCGGACCTGGGCCCTTCGGGGCTCGAGGGACGCCCCCCGCCGCTGCCCCCGAGGTTGCTCTCCCAGCCAGACAAGGTGTGGCTGGGGTCTGGGCTGGGCGACCCTCCTGCAGGCTCCGGCCACCTAGGCCCCCCGCCCCCCCAGGGCTAGGGGGGCAGAACTGCAAGGACAGGGCCTCAGGGAACACCTGAGTGAACACCCACTCTCCCTTCATCCAGGGGCCGGTGTTCCCCTCACTGCGTCCCCCAGACTGGCAGAATGGCCGGCCATCAGGCCCTGGGGCTGATCTCTGTGAGCGTGTGGCCCAGAGGGTCAGGTGGCCCCGCACGCCACCTGCCCTCCCTGGGGAGGCAGGCAGAGCTGGGAGCAGAAGAGGGGGTGCCTGGCCAGGCCACTGACCCTGCATGGGTGCAGCCCACCCGCCCTCACTGGCCGTGGAAACAGCCGGAACCCCGGAAAAGCCCCGTTGCTGGCCGTCTACCGAGCAGCTGCTAGCCAGGCAGTTACAGACTTCAGGAAGTCCCAGAGAAGAAACCGAGCAAATTCAACCATGACCTTGGTCCCCCGCAGGGTGGGAGCGCCCCCGCTGGTCAGGGCGCCCGCCTGTCGGCCCGCACGCGCTGGGCAGGCCCCGGGGGCTGCAGCCAGGCAGGGCCAGCCCCCCGTGGACACGCCATGCCTGCATCACAGATGCCCTGCCGCCCCGCCCTCCCCACGTACCTTTTGTGTCCTCGTCCTCTATGGTGGTGTGAGTGCTGTCCGATGACTCCTGGGGGACACACAGGGAGGCAGCGGGTCAGGACGTGGGCTCTGTCCCACCCGCCTCCATGGGGCCTGGAGGTGCCCACCCCAGCATCCCACGGCGGTCACCCGGCCCCAGCCCCAGGCCGCTCACGTCCCCAAGGGCCAGGGGCCCGGACGCGCCTTCTCCCGACCAGACACGCCTGGAGGAAAGACTCCCTGTGCTCAGACGGCTCTCATAAGAGGTAAACGGGCTCTCTGGGACCTCCAGTGAAATGGAAAGGCACCCCCAGCCCGTGTACTTGGGCAGACAGGACCAGAAGCTTCCAGGAGGTCCTCAAGAGCCTTGGCTGGCCCAGGCAGGATGCAGCCGTACCCACAGCTCCTGCCCTGGAAGGGGCCGCCTGCCCCTCATGCCTGGACTGTCCAGCCAGGCCCGGTCTCTCCCGAGGGGGCCTCCGACGGTAGACAGGCAGCCCCAGCACCTCCCGCCCCACTCCAAAACCAGGTACCGATCACCTGTCACGGGGTTCCCAGGAGGCCTGCTTGCTCCTCAGAAAGAGCATCCTAACAGAGTCCTCCAGGGCCTCCCTCTGGTCCCCTGACTGAACGCCCTGCTCGAGGCCCTGCCCAGAGATGGGGCGGGGGGAGGTCTGCAGGTTGTAGGATCAGGGCTCATACCACAGCCCCAGAGATTGTCTAGAAGCCTCTTGCAAGGAAAACATGAACCTCACCCCAGACACGGGGTCCCAGGAACGCCCGTCCCGAGCCACAAAGCAGAAGGACACCCAGGCCCTTCTTGGCACCTTGAGTCTGGGTTGGCTGAGAGGCAGTGGCCCATGGTCCCCTGGTCCTGGCCCACAGCCAGGGTGTGGGGCGCCCTTTGGGCAACCCAGGGCTGGGTGGGAGTCTGCGAACTTGGAGGGGGCGCCTGTCCTAGAAACACAGCTCAGCTGCCCGCCGCCCCTCCCGCCACCCCAAGAGCCAGCCCCTTCTCCGGCCCCGGGCACAGGTGCCGATGTGGTGGGAGATGCCAGAGCACAGAGCAGCAACGGAGGACGCAGGCTAGCTCAGCAGGAAGCACTGGGGGCAGAGGTGAGCAATGCGGGGGGCGGGCAAGGGCATCTGTGCTGCTCCCTCCTCCCGGGGACCCCCTGAGGCCGCCCCGCACGCCTGGCCCCCGGCTTTGCTGGGCCTGGCCACGGCCAGTGCCAGACGGACAGCACGGAGGGTCCTGAGGAGTGGACCCTGCTCTGGGCCCCCACCGTCGACGGACGGCGGACCCGGTACAGCCAGGCCCGAGAGGGCAGGACCTGGGGCCTTGTCCCGAGGGGCGGCCGTGGACCTCTGAGGCTCTGTCCTGCCTCGAGAGGGGTCCCTGCACACCTGCCCCCCCAACTCTTAGCCCTGGGGCTTCCCCGGGGCAACGCCCCAGACCTGCCCCTGGCCAGGGGGCCTGCCTCCTGCCTGAGCGCAGGCTCCCAAGGGGGCGGTGAGGGGGCGGCAGTACCTTGATCCCGTCCACGGGGTTATGAATGACGGTGGTTTGAGGCTCCTACAGAAGAAGGAAGCACAGAGGAAGGAAAGAGGGAAGTGAGAGGCGGAGGCGGCGGCTGGAGGGGAGGAGGGCAGCCGGGCGCGGATGGCAGGAGGTGGAGCGGGCCGGAGAGGCCCGCGGGCCCAGGGTGGCCAGAGAGAAGCCTGTGTGCCCACAGAGGGCGGCAGAGAGCGTGGGGGCCGCAGGCGGGGAAGAGGTCCTCCCCTCCCTTTGCTGCCTGACCCCCTGCCCCGGGCTGCGGGGGACACGGTTTTGAAGATGTCATGGGGGTGGGGTGGCATATGCGATGGACGGGGTCCGAGACGGGGCTGGCTGTGTGGGACCCACCCCTCCTGGGCTGAGGCCGCCCCCACGTGCGGGACGGCCACCTGGCGAGCCTAGCCTTCCTGTGGGCCGTGTGCGGCTGGGCTCCCTGGAGACCGCGCGCGTGCTCTGCGGGGCTCGGAACCTGGGCGCCAGCCAAGCCCGACCTCTTGGGGCGGCCGGCTCTACGCGGGCCGCCATGCGCACACAGCGCCCCCGCACCAGCACAACCCACGCCACCAGCTGGGGGGGGCCCTGACACAGCCAGGAGGCTCCTCTGAACTTGTCTGCCTGCCCCTGCCCGGAAGCCCCCAGGCCTCTCCCTCCCAGGCAGCCACAGGCCAGCACGGCCACAGGGCTGCGTCCCCCTGGCGGCTTCGGGACTGAGGGGCACGGTCTCCCACGGAGGCCGCCCGGCCTGCTGCTGGGTCATCCCCAGGCCAACTGCCAAGCGGGCTTATCTCCCTGCAGATCACCGGGGGTGGGGGGCTCCATAGCCAAGACCAGCCCCACCCATCGTCCTGGCAGAAAGCCAAGCCCCCACTTCCCAGATGGCGCGCCCCCCGCGGCAGCCGGGCGGTGTCTCCCCGCCGGGCCAGGCCCCTGCACAGCCCCGAGACGGCCCGAATGGGGCTCGGCCCTCAGTCCACACCCGCGCGGCAAGGGGGAGCTGGAGCGCCAGGTGTTGTCCATCGGGTTAGGCTGGGGCTGCAGCCCACCCTCCCCCCAGGCCTCCTGACAGGTGGCCACCGCACAGCCAAGGTGTGGGAGGGCCGGGAAGCAGGGCGCGGAGGGGCTCAGTACCAGGGCGGCCGGAGGAAGTGTCCCCTTCGGGCTGGTGGCAGCGGTGCTGTTTTTGGTGCTGTTTGTAGGGGGCTGTGGAGAGAGCAAGAGGAGGTCGGGGAGATGGCGGCAGCCGCACCATTCCCAGGGCAGGCCCAGCACGGAGGGAGGGAGGGAGGGAGGCCCAGCCGCAGGGTGGGCCCCAGGGCCAAGTGCACTCACCTTCACCGCGTCAGCCTTCTTGTTGAGTAAACTCTTGGCTGCTGCGTTGGGAGGAAACAGGCAGCATGAGCAAAGGGCTTGGGGCCTGCTGCTTCCCGCCCCCGTCAGTGTGAGGTGACCTCAGGGGCCAGCCAGGCTCTGGGCATCCCCAAGACGAGTGGGCAGGCAGGCGGCCCCAGGGACTGAGGCAGGGTGGCTTCTGTGGTCAGTGGGGCGGGGGGGTGGGGGGTGGGAAGCAGATCTGTCCCCAGTTCTGAGCCTGGCTGTCCTGGAACAGGCCCATGGGAGACCCAGGGCTGCCCAAACCTCTCATCCCCAGTACAGGCCCCTTCCCCCGGCCATTCTCCACGACCCTGGAGGACACCGAGATTTCCCCTCCCACCTGGGCCCCGCGGCTCGTGGGCAGTGTGCAGGCTCTGCCAAGAAGAAGTCAGGGTGCTCCCCCCTCCCCGGAGAGGAACACAGGATGGGGTACCAGGTTGGGGTGGTGGGCACCTGCCTGTCATTCTCCATGTTCTGGGGCCGGGGCAGGCTGCAGCTGGTCACCCACCCAGGCACGGGAGGGGCTTGTCCCGAGCTCGGGTGCCTGCCGGCGATCAGCCTCCTGGCCCCCTCCCACAGGCCCAGGCCCCCGGCTCAGAGCACCAAGGGGCTGCCTGGTTCTTCAGGAACCAGTCCTGGAAGTCCTGACCTTGGGGTCACTTTCCTGGCCCTGCCCTGGCAGCACCAGCCCCAACACGGGCCCCTCTGTCCACTCCTGAGGCCCCTGGGCTCTGAGTGGGCTCAGCAGGGGGACACCCACGGGGAAGGCTCCAGAGGGCCACCCGCGTCCCCGGCTCCCCCCACCTGTGGGACGCCCCAACGCGACCGCACAGAGGCCAGGGCAGCCCGGCCCCTGCCTCACCCTCCCCCAGCCCCCCGGCATTGGGGCCCTCCACAGCGGTCAGCGGCAACGATGGCTGCCAAACCAAAGGAAGTCCGCTTACCTTCCAGGAAAGGAAAGGTGAGGAGGGAGGGAGTAGTAGTGAGGGAAAGAAAGAAAACAAGATTCGTGTGGTCAGGCAGGGGAGCGAGTGTGTGCGGCCCAGGACCCCACCTGGTCCTGCCCACCCCACCCGCGCTCCCAGCCAAGCGCTGCCCCGCCCGTGAGGCCGATGTGGTGGGGGTCACCCCGCCGCAGGCTCCACAGCCCCCAGCCAGCTAGCCAGCCCTGCAGCGGGGCTGCCTGCCCTGAGGGCCCACGGTGGTCCACGGGGGGCGGAGGGGGCCCCTTGACTGCAGGACACATCCCTGGAGGCTGTGACATCAGGGCGATGTGCACACCACGACCCAGGGAGGGGCAGTGGTTCTCAAAGTGGCGTCCCCACACCAGCAGCACCCAGGCCCACCCCAGACCTCCCGGGGGTGGTGCGGCATCCGTTCTAGGAGATCCTAACCCTGCTTTGGCTTGAGAACCACTGTCAGGGCCCCACGGCCCGCCTCCCTCTCTGTGAAGGTGCCTTTTGCCGCCCTCTGGGCTCTGTCCAGGGACATGGGTGATGTGCTCGGGCAGAGAGCCCTGTGGGGCCGTCCAAGTGCCACCCTGGGCGCGGTCTCCAGCCCCACAACCTGTCAGCTCTCTCAAAGGCTTCCCCCGCAGGATCCACGGGGCCGTGTGTCACCAGAGGCCTGCCCGCTGGCCTGTCCCCCTGGTCCGGCAGGCCTCACCCCGTGAGAAGTGTCACAGGATCCCAGTAAGCAAAGGGACGACCGGCGCCCCCTCCCTTGCCCGCCAGTCCTGGCCGCCCTGCAGCACATCCCCCCCATCCTGGGGAGGCTGGATCAGGACCACGCCCGGAGGCCCGGACCGTCCCAGGCCCAAAATGCCACCTCCCCAGGGCCGCTTCCACGGTGGGCACCCTGGAAAGCTCGCTCCCCAGGGGGCAGCTCCAACCCACCTCCCAGTAACTCACCACAGTAGAACAGGCCAGCCCTGCAGACTCGGGGGCTTTCGCTCCTGACCCCCACTGACCTCACCCCTCTGCTCCCTTCCCCGCATCCAGCGCACACCTGGAGCCCACCTCCCCTGAAGTAGGAGTCATGCTGAAGGCGTGGAGCCCCGGTCCCCCATCCTTGCTGGCTGACCAGCGGGGGCAGGGCTCCTCCAGGGGCCTGGAGGAAAGAGGCACCCATCCCGAAGGCACGCGTCTCGGCAGCTGAGCAGGCAGGCAAGCTGACCCCACACCTGATTCAGGCCGGGCCCGCGACACCACGCGGCCTCGGCGTCTGAGCCGGTGTAGGCCGGGGCCGGCCCAGCACCCCGAGGAGACACAGCCAGCCCTGCCTGGCCCTGGGCAGAGGCAGATGGAGACCCTCGTCTCGGGAGGGCCCCCCTCTCAGTCCCTGACTCTCAAAGCCCACTCTCCAGACCTTGCTCCCCAGACGGCAACACCCCTCCGCGGACTCAGACGGCTCCACTGGGGCCCAGGCTCCAGAAAGCCTCACAGCCGACACCGAGCCTCTTAACCAATGCCCAAACACTTCCCCTGAGGAACCCCCTTTAACCAGCGCCTGCGAGTCCGGGCGCAGTGTGGACACACAGCCGGGCCCCTCCTGAAAGCGGCTCCCAGAAATTCACTGCCTTCGGGGCCCCGTGGACCCCGTCTACACTGGCAGTCAAAAGCACAGCTTCGCGGCAGGAGCCCCGGGGGGCCGAGCAGCTGCCCCAGACCCCTGGTAGGCAAGCAGAGACCTGTTTCCGCACCCGCCAGGGTCTAGGCCGGCCACGGCTGCCCCCCACCCGCACCCCCAGCTCTCCCGTCTCCTCTCAGGGAAGGCCAAGACGCTCTGTCGACCCGCAGCGTCATCGTCTCTACGGAGACCCCGCGGGCTCCTCGGGTGGGGGCGCTATGTCACCGGGGAGGCTGTCCCCTGCGGAGGAGCGATGGCCTTGGAACGGAGCCCCCCGCCCAGTGCCGCTGGCTGAGATGGGCTGACCTCTGCCCAAGGGCCCAGCCTCTGCCTCGTCCCCTCGCTGGTGGCCCGAGACAGCCATGCTGGGCTCCGTCCACATGCACTGACCGCCCCCGGGACAGAGCAGCCCTCGGCGGCCAGGCGGGGGGCTGTGCATGCACACGGCCTCATGCAGTCGCTGCACACCGACGACAGGCAGGTGGGCTCAGGCAGGGGCCCTGCAGAGAGCAGCCCGGAGGCCTCGCTCGCTGCGCCGGGCAGCTGCGCTTCAGCAGCGCGCTTCAGCCGAGGCGCCCAGGCTCCCTGCTCCCTGGCCCCTGGTCCTCCCTCCCCTCATGCGCTCCAGAAAGGCTCTGGGAAGGAAGCCAAGGACGGCCCTCCGCGGGCCTTGCCTGCCGGACACGTCCACCGGGCTCACAGGGGGGGCGCACACCGCCCTTCCCGAGGGTGGCCCTGCCCGGAGTACCCCCAGGAGGAGGCCGCTAGGGAAGGCAGCCCCTGTGGGATCTTGAGGCAAGCGCTGGGATGGACGGCTGGCTGGGCCGAAGCACAAGGCCCCCGCAGAAAACTACGCCCCACGGCTCCGTCTGGGGAGCCCTGGGATCGGCCTTCAGCTGCAGCGGGCCCCGTGCGCCCTAAGCCTGCACCGCCCTGGGCTCAGGCTGGTCCCCTGGCAGGTCCTGCGGTCCGCTAGCCCTCAGGGCTTCTGGCTAAGCTCACAGCGAGGTGGCGGGAGCAGGCCTGAGGCCCCCGGGGAAGAGCTGCTCGGCAGAAACAGCCTCTCCCCTCACGTATCTGGGAGGAGGCCAGGGGCCTCGTAGAGAGACCAACAGGACATTCTCGGGGCGGGGGGCCGAGGCCCCCCTGTACACGTCAGGCCCAGCACAGACCACCAGCTCCATGCGAGAGCCGGGGAGAAGCACGGTGCAGGTGCTTGGGAGCAGGGGCGGCCCAGGCAGGGCGTGCACGGGGCTGGCAAGAGGGCCCTCGTGGGGCAGGGCCTCTGCACCCATGCCTTTTTCCCGGGGCTCCCACTCAGGGTTCGGGCCCAGCAGCAGCCCTGAGGCTTCCTACGGGTGGCCAAGGTCACTCTGAACGGGGGTCGTGACGGACAAGCGGGAAGAAAGATCACAGAGCACAGGGCTCTGACCAGAGGGGTCTCCTGACCCCCAGACTCAGGGGCCAAGACCAAGGTTGGGTGAAATGCATGTGGGAGGAGGCATGGCTTAGGAGTCACCTAGCCCGGCCCCTCCTTTAGCGCACGGGGTCCGAGGCTGCTGGGACAGCGGGGGCTGCCGCCCTGCCCTCCGTGTGGGACCTGTCCACGGCGGGAGCGGGGGCTCCCGGGGCCTCTGGGGCAGCTCTGGAGGCCCGGCCAGCAGCTGCGTGCAGCGAGGGGGCTGCATGCCGACAGGCGGGACCCTGGTCAAGAACATCTACCTTGTTCCACCAGCCCCATGGTGGTGCCGGAGGCCGCGGTGGACATTGTGGCCGGAGCGGTGGTCTGTCTGCCCACTGTTAGCACCGGGTTAGAGACGAGGGAGGGGCGGACACAGACGGGGGGTGGGCAGGGGAAAGGGAGGGGAGAGACAAAGGAAGCAGAAGAAGATTAGAGTCCACAGTTGGGTGGCGGATGGCTCCAGAGTCCCGTTCACAGGAGAGTGGGAACAGGACCGGGACCGAGCGACAGTTGGAAAGCGTCTGCCTCCTTTCTCCTTAGAAAACCCCAGCGGGGGCTTCTCGCGCCCAGTGGGCGTGCGCACAGGATGGGACCCGTTAGTGGTGTGACACATGGCCCCCCGGTCCCAGCAGCACGGTATCACAGCCAAAGGAAGAGGATGGGGTGCTGGATGCAGACGAACAGGGACGGACCCCAGACGCTCCCGCAGCCAGTGACGCGGGCGACAGACAACCACAGGACAGCCAGGGGCCACCTGCCCCTCGGGTGACGCTGGGCCAGGGCCCTGGCCTTGGGTCGCTGACAGACACCCCCCTCGAGCAGCCACACGCCCCCAGCCCCGCCCACGCCCAGCGCCCCAGGCGGGCGGCCGCCAGCGAGTCCGGAGCTCGGCGGAGAGGTCCCGGGTCCTCCGCTGCCCTCCCGCTCCCACACACAGAACGGGTGCTCAGGGGGCTCAGGACAACAAGGCCACAGAGGTGCCAACCAACAGCCGGACAGACACACAGCTGCGGCCCAGGCGGCGGCAGCGAGGACACAGAGACCCAACACGCAGGGACAGGGGCGTGTGCCGGGCGGCCTCCCGGACCGGGCTGGATCGGGCTGGGGGGCGGCCCCTGGGGTGCTGCCCACAGAGCCCAGGCCTCGAGGCCCCGAGCGGGCAGAAGGCCAGGCCGCTGAGCGGTGGGGGAGAAGGGCCGGGGGTCGTGAGAGAGGGGCAGGCCGCCGGCGGCGGCGGGTCATTCGGAAGCCTTCTCTTCCAGGAGAAGACCGTTCTCACCTGAGAAGTTTCTCGTGGCCAGCATGGTGGTGAGGATCGCACCCTGGGGAGAGACACGCAGCTGAGACCGGGACACCCCGGCCTGGACCTCAGCCTGGGGGGCGCCCGCCGGGACCTGGGCCACGGCCTCGCAGAGCAAGTCCGCAGGCTCCCCGACTGCACAGGGACCGGCTCCCCACTTCCGGAGTGAAACCAGGGGCCGCCCGCTGAGCACAGCTTCTAGGGGGCTCAGGACCACGGGCTCCCCGCCGGCCTCCTCCTCGCCACCCACCCGCCCGCAGCCAGGCTGCTCTCCGCACCAGACCTGCGGGGGGCCGGCACTGCCCACTCGCTCACCCTGAAGCAAGCGGCAGCGACCAGGGGCACCTGCCCCTCCACAGCCCCAGGAATGGGGGACCCCGAGTGTCGCTGCCGTGCGGGGGCTGGGTCCACCTGACACGTGTGCTCTGGGACCGCGGTGCCTGCCCTCGCCCAGCCTGCCGGGACCCCTCTGGCCGCTCCCAGCCTGCGGCCCTCGAGGACACGGGCACCCCCGGGGCGGCTGAGCAATGGGGGCCGTGGGGCTGGTGGGCGAGGCGCCGGGGCCCCCGTCTCACCTTGAGCTTCCTCCGGGCATTGAACTTTTTCAAGCATTCGACGGTCTCCTGCCTGTGCATCATGGAGGCCACGGTGGAGCGTTGCTGTGGGGAGAGGGGCTGTCACACCCGGCAAAAGGCTCCAAGGGGGGTCAGCTCCGGCCCTCAGCGGGAGGGCTCAGGACAGCAGGGCCGCGGCACCCCCCGGGGCCACCCACTGCAGCAGGGGGCCAGCTGTGCCCCCTGCTGCCCAGCCCCGAGCCCACCACCCCTTTCCGCCTGTCTGCCCCCACCTCACCCTCACCCTCCTGGCCCTCCTGACGGCTGTGTCCCCCACCCAGGCCCCCGGTCTGCCTCGACTCTCCGTCCCCTCACATACAGGACGGGACCCCCTCTATCTGGAGCCCCCACCTTCCCAGAGACGGAGGCCTTGCAAAACCCCCAGTGGGCCCTAAGCCCCAGGCCGCGCAGCACCCAGGAGACCCGGGGGGACCCGTCAGCGGTGAGGAGAGGACCCCAGGGCGCGCGTGCTGGGGGGACTTACGCAGACCCACGGGTGTTTCAGCGCTTCGTGTGCTGTGATGCGCTTGGCGGGGTTGATGGTCAGCATCTGGTTGATGAGGTTTTTGGCTTCAGGAGTGACCGTGTCCCACTCGGGGGACGGAAACTAGAAGAGGAAGCAACGCACGAGGGAGTCTGAAGCCCCCTCTCCAGGCAGGAGCCAGAATCCCGAGGGCTCTCGTGGGTCCTGATTCTGGGACACAGGTGGTGTCACTCACTCCAGGCCTCCCCCCGGATGGGGAGGGGCACAAGGGTCCCAGCACTCACGTCGTAGGCTCCTGCCTTGATCTGCTGGTACAGCTTGTGCTGGTCCTCGTCCCAGAAGGGGGGGTAGCCCACAAGCAGGATGTACAGGATCACCCCTGTGCGGAGCAGAGCGGGGGGGCCTCACGCTGCCGCCCCGCCCACAGCCCCCACTCTCTGGGTCCCCTCCCCCACAGCCTCGTCCCCACCCCCACCCACAGCCCACCCCTGTGCCCCTGGAACACAAGGGTCATGTCCAGGGCTCAGCTCCACCCGAGACCCCCACCAAGGAGGCAGCCCTGCCACAGTGGTCTGCGTGCCCCGCCCCCAGCACCGAGTGCTCCCTCTGGCCCAGACCTCTCTTCTGGGTGCGGGGCGGGCACTGGGGTGGTGGGCTTCTCGGCAGCTGCCAGGATCACGTTAGCAATTCTAGTCTGTGTGGGGAGGGGGCTCCTGGCTGGTGGCAGCCCCGTGAGTCGGCCCAGGGGCAGGCCTGGCACGGCGCACGTGGCGCAGGGCTCCCTCCACCGTGGCCCCGTGGCCCCACCCGCCTCCACGGAGGTCTCACCGCACGCCCAGATGTCCACCGGCTTGCCATAGGCCTCCTTGCGCAGGACCTCTGGGGACAGGTAGCCTGGCGTGCCGGCGAACCCTGGGGACAGGGCAGGGGCGGTGTGAGGGCCGAGGCCGCAGCGGACCCCGCCCTCGCTCCGGCCGGCCGCCTGGACACTCACCAAACCATGCCTGCTGGTCCCCCTGCACCTCGATGGCCAGGCCGAAGTCCGCCAGCTTCACGGCCGCCCCTTTGCACTTGCTGGCCAGGAGCAGGTTCTCGGGCTGCAGGGAAGGCGACCCACCAGTATGCGTGTGGTTTACACCCGGGGGGCACGGACGGAACGGGGCACAACAGATGGGACAGCGGTTTGCAGGCTGGGCCCCACAGCTCTGATGCCCCACCGTGGGGCTGCTGCCCTGGCGGACTCGTCGTGAGCGCCGGGGGCAGAGGAGAGCTGTCACACCCAGGCCGAGAGCTCAGGGTGCAGTGAGCAGACCCGAGCGGTGCCCCCCGATGTCCCACATCTGGGTGCTCAGGCACGGTGGGGGGCTGCCTGAGGGGTGGCGCCCCCCCGAGGGCCAGGAGGAAGGAGGCAGCGCAGAGCGTCTGGCCGCCCACTCCCGTGGCGCCCACAGATGGGAAAGGCCCCCCCACTCCCCCCTGCCTCAAGGAGCAGCGCCCTCGGGCAAGCTGAAGGGCATTCGTCCCCTGTCCCACGGGAGCACCACGGGGTCCCTATGCTCTGTGTCCTGGCCACAGGGCCCCTCCCATCCCGGCCTGGCCGCCTCCAGCGGTCAGCGGGGAGCACACAGAGCTCGCAGCCTCTGGGCTTCCTCGTCCCTGACCGCCCGGGGCCCCCTCCCCGGGCCGCCCTCCCGACAGGCAGGCCCACGGAGACCACGCCGCCATTGCAGTGCCCCAAGAAAGGCACACGTCTCCGAAAAGACCGTGTTAACACTGCTCGTAACCCTGAGGTGCTAGAAGGTGACACGCGGCCCTGGGAACCTGTGAAGGATGCCAGCCCCGTGGCAGACACCGGGGCTTCCCCGGGCCCCACCCAGCTGGCCGGGGACGAGCTCCGTCCCCGCAGGTGACACGTGCTGGGGACAGGTGGCCCTGCCTGCCCAGCACAGCCCAGAGGCCCCTCAGCATCTCCATTTTCCCAACGTGAGCGGGGCTAGGGGGCCCCCACCTCCCCTTGCACCCACATCGAGGAGTCTGAGGTGGCCGGGCAGGCCTTCCACAGATGAGGGGCTCAGCCCCAGGGAAGGGCTGGGGACCCCTGCCCCCCCACAGCCCTCTGACATGGTGCCAAACCCCTCTGCTCTCCCCTCTTCCCACCTCGGCTGAGAGCAGACCCACCACTGTACTGTCTCGGGGGTCTGTCCCCATCAGGAGACAGGGGTCCTCTTGGGAAGAGGAGAGGCCGTCTGCCCTCCACACCCCGCAGGAGGCAGAAGGCCCACTGTCCTGCCCTTCTGTTCTTTTCAGCAAGGCTTGCTTGCCCCGGGTCACACCTGGGTGGGGGTGAACACCTATGTTCATTCCTATACCGTGGCTTCAGGGTGAACTATGAATCATGGGGTCCAGGGACAAGGTGGGGATGCATGCCTCCATGTGACGCTGCTTCAGACCAAACGGGGTGACAGACGGTGAGGCCCACAGCCTGGGCACACAAAGCAGGCCTGGGGCGCAGGTGGAGGGACGCAGGACCATGTGGGACGTGCAAAGAGGGCGTGGGAAGGGGGTCCCGGCCTGTTTCTGGTGGGACACCATCCCCAGAACAGCCCCTGCAGAGATCAGCTCACGTGCACACCCCTCGGTGGCCCAAGAGAGGTGTGGCCCCATTCAGCGTGGAAAGGTTGGTCTCAAATGCCACCTAGGGACTCTCGGCAGGAATGACAGGCCCCCCCGCCCAGCCCAGCTAAAAAGGGGACAGGAACCCAGCTTTGGAGAGCCTGGGAGGCAGGGAAGGCGGAGGGGGTGCTGTTCCTCCTGAGGCCACACTGTGCCCTGGGGGGTGACAAACCGCTTTGCCCAGAGCTGAGCCAGGGGCAGCAGAGACTTGCAGGATGGGCTGGACGCTGGCAGAGGCCAGCAAGGCCAGCCCCTCACCCCTGCTCCCTTGGCAGCAGCCCCACCTGCACACACATCGCCTGCATGCCCCCTGCCGGGTCTGTCTCACCTGGAGCCCAGAGAGACACCCCAAGTGGACATGTGCTGACAGGCTGACTTTTGACAACTGCCCTCTCAGTCCTGGAGCATGGAGGCGATGGAGGGACGTGTGCAAACACACACACATGCGTGCACACACACGTGCATTCTCTCACACATGCACACACACATGAATTCTCACATGCACACCCACACAAGTACACACATGCACACGTTCTCATGCACTTGCACGCACCCCCACATGTGCTCGTGCACATTTGCACACGTGCTTTGTGCACACTCACACGCACATGCTCGTCCACACACATACTCGTGCACACACACAGGTGCTCATTCACACACACGTATTCGTGCACACTCACACACACGTGCTCAAGCACTCACAGGTTCTCATCCACACACGTGCTCGTGCACACTCATGGGTGCTCACACACACACGTACTCGTGCACACTCACAGGTGCTCATCCACACACACATGCTCGTGCACACTCACACACAGGTGCTTATTCACACACGTGCTCGACCACACACGTACTCGTGCACACTCATGGGTGCTCACAAACACGTTCTCATGCACTTGCACGCACCCCCACATGTGCTCGTGCACATTTGCACACATGGTTTGGGCACACACGTGTGCTTGTGCACACTCACATGCACATGCCCATCCACACACGTGCTCGTCCACACACATACTCGTGCACACACACAGGTGTTCATCCACACACGTGCTCGTGCACATTCATGGGTGCTCACAAAGACATGCTCGTGCACACACACACGTGCTTATTCACACACACATACTCGTGCACGCTCATGGGTGCTCACACACACGTGCTCATGCACCCACACGTGCTCATTCACACACACGTACTCGTGCACACTCACAGGTGCTCACACACGTGCTTATCCACACACATGTGCTCGTGCACACTCACACGTGCTCATGCACGCTCACAGGTGCTCATCCACACACGTGCTCGTGCACACTCATACATGCTCGTCCACACGCGTGCTCATGCACAGCCCTACACACGTGCTCGTGCACACTCACAGGTGCTCATGGACACTCATGGGTGCTCACAAACACATGCTCGTGCAACACACGCATGTGCTTATCCACACACGTGCTCGTGCACACACACACGTGCTCATTCACACACACGTACTCGTGCACACTCATAGGTACTCATCCAAAACATGCTCGTGCACACTCACACACCCGTGCTCACACACACACGTGCACACTCCCAGGTGCTCATCCACACACGTGCTCGTGCACACTCATGGGTGCTCACGAACACATGCTCGTGCACACACGTGCTTATCCACACACACGTACTTGTGCACACTCATGAGTGCTCACACACACGTGCTCGTGCACATAAACGTGCTTGTCCACACACATGTGCCCGTGCACTCACGTGCTCGTGCACACTCACAGGTGCTCATCCACACACGTGCTCGTGCACATTCACACACACTCATCCACACACACGTGCTCGTGCACATTCACACACAGGTGCTCATTCACACACGTGCTCGCCAACACACGTACTCGTGCACACTCACAGGTGCTTATCCACACACACGTGGTCATGCACACTCACACATGCTCGTCCACACGCGTGCTCATGCACAGCCCTATACACGTGCTCGTGCACACTCACAGGTGCTCATGCACACTCATGGGTGCTTACAAACACATGCTTATGCACACACACGCATGTGCTCATCTACACACGTGCTCGTGCACATACACGTGCTCATTCACACATACATACTTGTGCAACTCACATGCATGTGCTCATCTACACACGTGCTCGTGCACATACACGTGCTCATTCACACATACATACTCGTGCACACTCACAGGTGCTCACACACACGTGTTCATGCACACACACATGCTCATTCACACACACGTATTCGTGCACACTCACACACACGTGCTCGTGCACACTCAGAGGTGCTCATCCACACCCATGCTCGTGCACACTCATGGATGCTCACACACACATGCTCGTGCACACTCAGAGGTGCTCATCCACACACGTGCTCGTGCACACTCATGGATGCTCACACACACATGCTCGTGCACAGACACATGCTCATTCACACACACGTGCTCGCGCACACTCACAGGTGCTCATCCACACACACGTGCTCGTGCACACACACAGGTGCTTATTCACACACGTGCTCGTCCACACACGTACTCGTGCAAACACACACAGGTGCTCATTCACACACGTATTCGTGCACACACACGTATTCGTGCACACACACGTGCTCATGCACACTCACAGGTGCTCATCCACACACGTGCTCGTGCACACTCATGGGTGCTCACAAACACGTTCTCATGCACTTGCACGCACCCCCACACGTGCTCGTGTACATTTGCACACGTGGTTTGTGCACACACGTGTGCTTGTGCACACTCACACGCACGTGCCCATCCACACACGTGCTTGTCCACACACATACTCGTGCACACACACTGTTCATCCACACACGTGCTCGTGCACACTCATGGGTGCTCACAAACGCGCTCGTGCACACACACGTGCTTATCCACACACACGTGCTCGTGCACACACGTGCTCGTGTACACACACGTGCTCATTCACACACACATACTCGTGCACAAAAGTGCTCACACACGTGCTCGTGCACACTCATGGGTGCTCACAAACACATGCTCGTGCACACACGTACTTATCCACACACGTGCTCGTGCACACTCACACGCGCTCATGCACACACACAGGTGCTCATTCACACACATGCTCGTCCACACACGTACTCGTGCACACACACAGGTGCTCGTCCACATGCGTGCTCACGCACAGCCCTATACACGTGCTCGTGCACACACACAGGTGCTCGTCCACATGCGTGCTCACGCACAGCCCTACACACGTGCTCGTGCACACACACGTGCTCGTCCACATGCGTGCTTATCCACACACACGTGCTCGTGCACACACGTGCTCGTGTACACACACGTGCTCATTCACACACACATACTCGTGTACAAAGGTGCTCACACACACGTGCTCGTGCACACTCATGGGTGCTCACACATGCTCGTGCACACACGTGCTTATCCACACACATGTGCTCATGCACACTCACACGTGCTCAGGCACACACACAGGTGCTCATTCACACACACGCTCGTCCACACACGTACTCGTGCATACACACACACAGGTGCTCGTCCACATGCGTGCTCACGCACAGCCCTACACACGTGCTCGTGCACACACACACGTGCTCGTCCACACGCATGCTCACACACAGCCCTACACAAGTGCTCGTGCACATTCACTCACAGGTGCTCGTGTGCACACAGGTGCTCGTGCACACTCGCGTGCACACAGGATCTCCTGGCACTCCCCCTGCCCCTCCAGGGCCTCCTTTTGCAAGACATGCAGGCGTAGACAGCTGACACAGAGCAGGGTGGGGGACTCACCTTGAGGTCCCTGTGGACGACCCCCATTTGGTGGCAGTGGAGAACCGCCTCCAGGATCTGCTGGATGCAGTGACTGTGGCAAACAGCAGGTGTGTTAGTGAGGGTGGCCTCGAGGGGCGGGGGTTGTGCAGGAGTGGGGTGCTGTGTGGCACTGGGGTCGCAGGGAAGCAGAGAATCAAGATGGGGCCTGCCATACAGGAGAGGAGACGCCGGCTAGGAGGGGCCCCCCCACTGGCCAGCACAAGGCAGGGCCACCCCCTGCACCCCACACCCCACTTTCTCCTCTGACCAGGCCCAAGGAAGCCACACTCAGAGGACACACCTCTGTTCCCGGGACACCCTCCCCAGGCTCATGCCGAACCGAGCCCGACCCTATGCCAGGTGTCCTCTGAGAGGGGGCCAGGGCACTGCGGAGGAGGGTGGCGCCCCAGCCCAGGCCCCGCTCTGTTCTGGGGCAGGGCCAGTTCTGCAGCCGGTCCCTCAGGTGCTAGAGCAGGAGGGCTTCCGTTTTACCGGCCCCAAGCGTCCACACTGGCTGCCCAGCTCCAGAGCAGCCCAGCGGTCCTGGTAGCTCTCCTGCCTGGGCCCCGAGCCCTGAGCCAGGGAGACAGACGTCTAGGGCCTTCCGGGCACGACTGGCTGGAGGGAGAGGTCAGGGCTGCCCGCAGGCTCCTCGGACACCTGCGTGTGAGCAACACCACCCACGCCCCAAACCCCGATGACCCCCAGCTTCTGCACACACAACACCCTGGAGCCCGAGCCTGCCTCCCCCAGATGGCCCGCAGGGTGCACGGTTTCCAACTGCCCCCAGAGCCAGGCACAGGCTCCTTGAGGTCCCAGCCACCCCTGCAGCATGGCCTGCCACAGGCCGCCAGGAGCCCCCTGCCCAGGACTGCACTCGCTGCCCCTCTCGGTGGGGGCGAGACGGGAAGACAGACTGCTTCAGGATCCCTCCTGCCACGGCTGGACCCTGCAAGGTGACTGAGGGTCAGCTGGAGGTGTGGGCTTTGTCTCCCTAATAGCAAACTCGGAGTGGGGGGGAGGGACCAGACCTGTTCCTCAAGTAGCTCTGGCCACACCTGGAGATCCTCCTCCCACGGCATAAACCTGACTTTCCTCCCTGCACATGCCAGGACCTTGGAACCCTAATGATGACGGCTCCTGAGCTCTGGGGGGGTCAGAAGGAGCCAGGCCCAAAGCTGTGGGACACAACCCCTTGACAGCACCACCAGGGGCTGGAGCCACAGCCCCCTCCCGTGTCCTGAGTCTCCTGCCCTTGTGACCCGGGGGTCTCCTGTCCCCGGGTCCTGACCTAACTCATCCTCAAAACCTTCCTTGTTCTGGGCACCTGAGTGGCTCAGTCGGTGAAGCGGCTGCCTTCGGCTCAGGTCATGATCCCAGGGTCCTGGGATCGAGCCCCGCATCGGGCTCCCCACTCCGCGGGGAGCCTGCTTCTCCCTCTCCCTCTGCCTACTTGTGTTCTCTCTCTCTCTCTGTCAAATAAATAAATAAAATCTTTTAAAAAAAAAAAAAACCTTCCTTGTTCTTGTGACTCCCATCTGCCTGGAACATCCCCTGTGATCCTCATCCCTGTCCCGGTGGCGCCAGCCCCCGTTACTGCAGTCAGGGGCTCATACTGCAGTCATGCTGACCCCCACGGCAAGCTCGTCGGGGGGACCTACTCCGCCGGAGCCCCTCCTCTAAGGTCAGGGCAGGCAGAGGACAGGCGAAGCCCCCAGCACTTGCCACTGAGGTCGCTGAGCCAGGGTCCAGGGCCGGGGACGGCTTTCCCAGCCTGCAGAGACCCACCCCTCACTGCCCACCTGGAGCCCCGGGGCTGTCAACGCTCATGCACGGCACTCCGTCGCAGGTCCCTAGGACCACCTATGCACTGTGGCATCCGCATGGAGTCGGCGGGGCGGTGGAGGGGACTGGCAGACCAGCCCCCTCCTGAGCTGCAGCAGCTCGGCCCTGGCCTGCACCCAGCTGAGCGCCCTGCTGTCCGGCAGGAGCCCCTGGCCACTCCCCACAGGCCCCGGGGTGACCTGGCTTCCGGTCAGACCTGCTGAGCCTGTGCACATCCTGCTTCAGCTCTGGGTCAAGCCCGTCTTTCCCCTTCCCGCTCAAGACCCTTCCTTGGCTCTGACCCCTGACAACACCCTCTGGACTCCGCACCGCCGTCCCCTGGTGGCCACGGCCTCTGTGTGGGTGTCTCTGCCTGGACTGTGGCCTCCACCACGGTATTGACGGGGCTTCCTCCTCTTGATCGTGCCTTCCCCTGACCCCGCAGGAAGATGTTCTGAGAACGTCTGTCGGACCCAGGGGTCCATGTGCCACAGGACAGACGGCTAACATCGGCTTGGAGTTGCGGGGCTGCACCCCTGCCCTCCTCCTTGTCCCCTCCTGGGAATGCAGGGCCCAAAGCAGCACCAAAGATGCGAGCCCACCCCCCTGGAGCCAGCAGAGGGTCTGCATCTCTCCAAGAGCATCGCGGGACTTGGCTGTCTCCCTGCTACTCTGAGGACAGACCCTGTCCGCCCACCCGCAGACCCTGCTCCAGGGCCTTCACGGCCACCGCGATGGAGAAACTGGCTGGGAGGACACAGACTTGCACTGGCTTCCCCCCAGGGCCAGGAGTGAGCTGGCTAAGCAAACCGGGCCCCCACGAGGAAGCTGTTGGGGAGCCTCCCCAGCCACGTGGTGGTGGGAGCCTGTCTCCGCACCCCACAGGTGCCCATTCTGGGCAGCCCTGCCCGGGGGGGCTCCTGGGGACCACTGGCCCCCCTCACCACTCCAACCTGGGATCGCGGCCTGGAAGTCCTGCCCGCCTTCCATCTTCTGCTCACACTGTACCATCTTCCTTGTGGGGCCTTTTTGTGGTCAGAGTTATTTCCAAGCGCATTCCAGACGCTGGCTGGGTCCTGGACGCTATTCTCACGGTTCTGGGCTCTGGGGTCACCTCAGCTGCACGCCTACCTCCTCCTCCTTCTTGGCAGGGTAGTCGGATTCTCAGGGGGCCTTTGAAACATTTCTCAAGAGCCGCCTAACTTTCTAGGCTTTTAAAAACTGGGTTCTAAATGTTTTGACCTTTGCTTTCCCTGCTTTGGAAACAGACCCTCCAGGTTCCCCATAAACCGCCAAGTTCTTCCGAAGCGGGATTAGGAAAGAGCTCAGAAAAGCAAGGCCTGCCTTCCTCCCGCCCCCTCCAGACACTCGCCACGGTGGAAGCCACGAGATGCTCTGCCATGAGCAGCACGGCCCTAGCAGGCCACGGGGCCGGACTTCCCCGCCCACACCGCGTGGCAGGCATCCCGGGTCCCGGGCTCAGCACGGCCTGACCCCTTTCAGTGGCGGGTCCCCAGAGCCAGGCAGCCCTCCCAGCCACATCTGCCACGGTTCCTGATGATGCCCCCGGGTGACCACCGTGCCCGTGTCCACAGCAGACCCTGGCAGGCCCGCCTGGCCGAAAACAAAGCACCAGCACAAACATCCAATGCAACCCAGGGGCCAGAGCCCCTGGGAGAAGAGGCAGCTGCAGGCTGCCTCCCTGAGAGTGTCCCCTCGTCCCCTCCTCGGAGCTGGGCTCTGAGCAAGGCGGGCTTTGTGAGAGAAAACTGGGCATTTGTGGGGGGGACCCCAGCCCTGTCTCCTCTGGGCCAGTTCCAAGGGGCCCAAACACCAGGGGAGCCCTCCACGACCGGGTCCCCGACAGGAGCATGGCAGGAGGGATCCACGGGCGTCCAGCGGTGGGGCTGGGGGCTGGAGGGGGTGTTGGAGATGAGGCCGAGAGGCAGGCAGGCGGGGCAGGTGGGTGAGGGAGGAGCTCGGAGGCCACAGGTGTTGGGGTGCGCGGGGTGTGTGCACGGTCGGGGGCGTGGGCGGGCACAGGAGGGAGGCACTGTGGGCAGGCTGGGGGGGTCCAGGGGCTCCCAGCCAAGAGGGGGCTGCTGTCACGGGCCATAGCACCCCTCAGCCAAGCACCTGCTACGGAACACAGGCAAGGGGCCAGGCCCCACGCAGTGGGGGATGCCAAGGACTAAGCCCCAGGGCAAGGAGTTCCAGGCGGGGAAACAGACGGCTGTGAAGGCCAGCTACCCAGACACAGTCCTCCTCATGCTGGTACTGCCCTGGTGGTGGTGGGCCCCGGCACCAGACCTGGGGACAGCAAGCCGGGACCCTGCCCACCTGGCCGGGACCCTGCCCACCTGCTGGCCGGGCCTGCACCTGCTGAGCGGGACCCTGCCCACCTGCTGGCTGAGCCTGCACCTGCTGGCCGGGACCCTGCCCACCTGCTGGCCGGGCCTGCCCCTGCTGGCCCCTGAGCTCCTCTAGCCCTGGCAGAGGTCAGGACAGCCCAGGCCCAGCAGGCAGGCACCCACTCTCCAAACGTCCCCACTCCAGCACCACAGAGCCAGGGGACATAGCTCTGCTCTACTCTACTTTTCTTAAAGGAGGAACTAAGAACCGGATCTTCCTGGTACTGAAGGGGACCGGCCACTCCCAGGCGAGCAGGCAAAACGAGGGTCCTTCTTCAAAGAGCCTCAGGAGAGCAGCCCGTGCCCCTGAGCCCTGTCCCTGACACCCCCAGCCCCGGCCCTGACCCTGGAGGACCCAGGAGGCCCTGACTCTGCTGCGGGACTCGCTCGGGCCGTTACTAGCAGGTGAGTTTGCCCATGGGTGCAGAAGCAAGCCACAAAAAGCTACTTTTAAAAAAAATATTCAAGGGGCGCCTGGGGGGCTCAGTCAGTTAAGAGTCTGCCTTCAGGTCAGGACATGGTCCCGGGGTCCTGGGATCGAGCCCCGCATTGGGGTCCCTGTTTGGCAGGGAGCCTGCTTCTCCCTCTGCCTCTGCCGATCCCCCTGCTCGTGCTCTCTCCAATAAAAATCTTTTTAAAAAATTAAAGTAAAATACTAATATCCACTTTCTTGATTATAGAAAGAATACATGTTCACTAATGAAATTCTTAGAAATAAACAAGTAACAAAAAATT